GTAGGCCAGTTAACCGAATTGCCCAAGAACTAGTCAAGGCGGTTAACACTCACGTTGACTCAATAGTTTGGGAATCTGAGCCCCGCATGTACTCAACATTTCAACAACTCATTCTTTAATAATATTTCTTCTTTTGGCATTCAAAAAAAAAATCATTATGCGAAAAGTTTTATAGTGTATTTTTTGGGTGCATTTTATTTGTTCGAAGTAGAAAGAGCATATATAACTTTTGGTAATTGATGATTTTATCGGGATTAAGTCCATCATAATAAACTGGGTATGGATGTATAGAATGGGGGTAGGAAACTAATGGTTTTATTACCCAAGACGGTAGACAAAACCCGAAAGAATATGTACAATGCCCGAGTTAACTGACCAAAATGGCGACCCAAATTATAAATAATTAAATAATAAAGATTATAGTCCAAGTAGTGAAATAGAAATAATAATGTAGGTGAAGGCCATCGAACCCTATTATTCTTGTTGAAGGTTAAGACCATAAACCATCAAGCTAGAAGTGTTGTAATGGTCAGACCATGATGTCTAAGTGGGAGACAAGGATGCCCTTTTATAGTGTAGAAGACTCATCCATGGCATGACAAGTGTGTGACATTGGTTACTCTCCATTCTTGGTCATACATGTGCCCTACTACTTTGCTACCAACGTCCTTCACCTGAATAAGTAGAGTACAGTATCATGCCTTTTAGTACACTAGAATTAAAGTGGCTTAGCTTGCTTGGTTGGGGTTTGTGTTGTTATGCATGAGTTTGCGGGTTTTATTCTAGCTTGATGTACCTCCATTAATATTATGCTAATATGCTTGCTCACCTCCAATCTTGTGTATGGCACCCTCTTTTACTGTTTGGGTCTCCCTTACCTCCTTTTTCTTCTTCATAGCCACCTTTATTCTTCTTGGGCCAAAACCCCACTAATAAAAGGGCCCTGGTGTCCCATGGACCCCATCAGTAAGATGAGAACGAGCGCACATGAGAGAACTATAAACCAATCATAATCGTTCATCTATAAAGATCAAACAAATCAGAAGCAATTAAAAAATCTGATGATATTTTTTGTAAATAATTTGAACTTTGAAATACAAGTAAATTGTGTTAGCATGTGCTCCATCTCAACTAAAAGCTCCTAAGCTAAATTGTGTTAGCATGTGCTCCATCTCAACTAAAAGCTCCTAAGCTTGGATTGCACATTGAAGGCAACCAAGCAACACGTGGACCGTAGTCGCTTATCGAGTGACGTAGATTCAAACCCATGACCTTTGGTCTAGCCCTGATACTAAATTGAAGCATGTGCTCCATCTCAACTAAAAGCCTAAGCTGATAGTTGGATTGCACATTGAAGGTTATATGCTCAACAACAACTACTACATAGTGTTTAACAATAGTGCAAGTAAAATGTATTAAAAGTGCAAGTAACAACTGCATATAGTGCAACAAGATAACGTACAACGAGCAACAATATTAAGTGTACAAAACGTTATCCTTAGTGGCACCAACGTGAAAGGTAAATTACTTGCACTATATAGTGCAAATGGTTGCACTTTTAACTGATTTTATTTGCACACTTATACATTTTACTTGCATTTTAAAGTTTGAGTTATTTACAAAAATGTCACTGTATTTATATATATATATATATATATATATATAATTCGTTGATCTTTTCAGATGAATGGTTCGTATTAATTCCTAATTCCTAATTCTCTCATGGGGAGCAGTTCTCAACTGACGCGTATGAGAGAACTATGAACAAATCAAAATCGTCTATTTGGAAAGATTTAACTAATCAAAGTAATATTTTTAAAAAATAATGCGGTAACGTTTTTGTAAATATCTCAAACTTTGAAGTGCAAGTAATAAACTATGGAGTGCAAGCAACAACATTATAGAGTGCAACAATATAAAGTACACTCAAACTTTGAAGTGCAAGTAATAACACTATGGAGTGCACTTAACAAATTCATTGAGTGCAACAATATAAAGTACATCCGGGCAACAATATTAAATGCACCTAACGTTATAGTGTAAATGATTGCACTTTATAGTGATGCTAGTTAACACACGCGCATTGCGTGAATAGTTTAATGCTCAATGTGTATTATTAAATTAGTATTTCAGAATTTATCAAAGTATCATTCGTTATCTTGTCGTATATCAATGCAATATTGTCAAATTTTCTATAAAAGTAAATATTTCAAGAATCCATAAATATGGCATGTAGCAGAAATGTTTGATTAACTGGTGCAATAGCAGTTTTAGAGGGAAACAGCCTCACTGGATAATATCAAGCATAGTTTTTGCAACACAGAACCCTATTAATTTTACCAGTTTGGTGTGATCAATGCTTCTTCTTGTTGCCACTTCTGACAGAAATGAATTATTGATTAATTAACAAAAGTTCATGTTAAATTGTATATTGTATTTTTTTAATACAATCTAACATATTCATAATATATGTTCAACAATCAGGGCTGAATTTTGGGCTGTGCAAGCTGGGCTACTGCACAGGGCCCCAAATTTTAGAGGCCCAATATTTAATTTTACGTAGTTAATTTCGAAATAAAAACTAAAAGTTTTCAATTAAATTTAAAAGGTGTTATAAAGAAATGGTAAAAGCATGTTTTTATTGTCTTTCAACTTAGAGGTCAAAAGTTTGAGTCTAGCTTTGGACATCACTATGATTTTTAATCATTTTACGCACAGAAACATTTTACCACATTATTATTATTATTATTATTATTATTATTATTATTATTATTATTATTATTATTATTATTATTATTATTATTAGAAAAAATTACGGTATTTGTTTTAAAGATTGCGATTTTGGTAGGGTGTCATTTATTTACCAGAACAGGACCACAAAAATCTAAAAACCGGCCATATCAACAATTATGCCAATTTTGATTGAGATGAGTTCGAACCTAATACCTTCATTATGAAAATCAATGAGTAAATTAAGAATAAAAAATAATTAACGGAATATTCCGTTAATAAAGTTTATACTAACAAAATGCAGAGATATTTAAGAAAAGTAAATGATATAATAGAGGATAAAGTATGAAGAATAATAAAAAAAAAATACTAAAATCAAAATAATATGAACCATTCATTTCAACTAACAATTACATCCACATTTTTTAGTTCATGTTAAAAGACCTAACTTTATGGGCCCTTATTAAGTTTGTAGATTGTTTGCACCTTTACTTGTACACTTGCACTTTGAATACATGTTACTTGCATTTCAAAGTTTGAGTTATTTACAAATGTCACAACACTTTTTTTTTAATTGTTTCTAATCTGTTAGATCTTTCTAGAAAGACGACTCTTATATATATATATATATATATATATATATATATATGTGTGTGTGTGTGTGTGTGTGTGTGTGTGTGTGTGTGTGTGTGTGTGTGTGTGTGTGTGTGTGTGTGTGTGTGTGTGTGTGTGTGTGTGTGTGGATTTTGTGCTGAGCAAACTGTGCAACAGTACATGATCTCAAATTTTAGAGGGCCTAATATTTATTTTTTACCTAGCTAGTTAAGAAATTAAAAACAAAAAAAAAAAATTACAATTAAACTTAAAAGACTCCATGGAGGAATGAGAAATGTGTGTGTATTGTATTTCATCTTAGAGATTTGAGGTTCAAATCTTGCTTGTTGCACTTTTGTGTGTCACACTTTATTTGAGCTTATGTTTTATCCCTTATTTCACCCCATTTGGTGCATATTTTGGTATATAGTTGCCTATTTGAACTAATTAATGTGTTTTATGTATAGTCTCACCCAATTGCACAATAAAGGGGGAAGAAACAATTGGAGCAAGGCTGATTAATTCTGAGCTAAAAAGAGCATGGAAATGAAGCTAAATGAGATAGATGCAAGATTTCATGGAGAGTCAAAGAGTGGTGCTTTCAATGATTTCGGTCATTTTATTGTTGGAAATATTATTAGAGTTGGCTGAAATGTTTACCTGAACCATTGTGACATGTGATAGTAGGTCACTAATCGGGTTTTGGACTTCATTGCACCAAAATACAATATAATGAGTTTAATTGCTACTTAAAAAAGTTTAGGGGCCTAATTGAGTTCTTAGGTAAAGTTTAATGACTTATTTGACCATTTTCCCGCGTTTATATTAACACCAACAAATTTTTTTTTTTTTTTTTTTTTTTTTTTTTTTTTTTTTTTTTAATTCACAACTATAGTAATGCTTTTTTCTATTAGTTTTGTTATACTATTGACCAGTGTTGTAAAAATTAACCTAGGTGCCCACCTAGGGACTAGGTGCTCGACTTTGTAAAAATTAACCTAGGTGTCCACCTAGGGACTAGGTGCTCATAGGTCGAGGTGATTTTAGCCCTAGGCTGCTTTTAGTCGGCCAGCCGACTAGGTGCTTTAGGCACTAAGTTGCGTACAACTTGGGCAAGTGATTTTTTTACTTACTCGGCTACTCCTCTTCTATATTCCTCCAGTCATGTACTCAACTAACCATATAACATATGTAATTGACTAGTTTCAGAGATTATACCAGCCTAATAACTCTTAGCTCTAAGTGAAAAAATTCGAGATGATATACTAGGATTACTTGACCACCTATGCACTCTAGGCACTAAGTGCCCCTCGGTCGCTAGCGCCTTCTACAACATTGTTATTGATCAAACCATATTTAGTCGGTAATATTTTGATATAAGTTATGTACTATCTTAACATTGAATCAAATTTAATCAGTATATATTATAAAACGTTTAAGTATCAAACATGATCAAAATAAGAGTCAAAAATAAAATGTAAAAATATTATTATTACTATGTTATAGGTTTGTGATCTTTCTTACGTAGTTTATAAATTATTATACAAAAATCAAATTTACTTATTATACACTTTTAATTAGTGTTGGTAAATTTCTATAGTCACCCAAAAAAAAAAAAAAAGAAAAAAAAAAGAGTTGAATCTCATGTAAGGAGATTACATTTTTTTCACTTGGGAAGTGACACAACACCTATGTTAGCGGGGCGCTAGTAATGTTCAATTTTGATTTTCTTTTTCCTAATTTCAGTTTTCCCGGCTCTCTGCGGTCTTCTCCGGTTCAACCGGGCGGACTTGTATCCTGCTGAGGTGTCAACGCACGACTGAGACAACCGCCATGGTCGCCGTCACGTCTTTCTTCGTCTCCACCTGAGATCTCTTCCCTCCCTCCCAATTCCTCTTTGATCTCTGCAATTCAACTCCGACGATGTCGATCCAGCGACCGCTAAACGAATCATGGGACTGCATGCTCCCTGGTCCACCTTCCCGCAGCAACGGCGGATCCGCCGACCTCTCCACCACCGGCCTCTTGGCTTACGCCTCCGGCAGCTCTGTTGCCGTCGTCGAAACTCACTCTATGCAGCTCGTCACTGCTATCCCTCTCCCCCCGCCTTCCTCGTCCTCGGCTGCTCTCTCCCCCTTCATCACCTCCGTCCGGTGGTCCCCGCACCCGCTGCCGCACTTCCTACTCTCCTCCGACGCGCCCAATCAGCACCTCATTCTCGCCGTCGGTGACCGCCAAGGCCGTATTTGCCTCCTTGATTTGCGGTCGAAAACGCCTCTTTTGTTCTTCGACACTAATTCTAGTAACTCCAGTTCAAAGCCGGGAATCCAGGACCTCTGCTGGGTCCAAACCGGACCCGATTCCTGGGCCATTGCTGCTCTTTCTGGTCCTTCGCTTCTGAGCCTCTACAACACTTCAACGGGACGTTGCTTCTTCAAATACGACGCTTCTCCGGAGTACTTCTCCTGTCTCTGTCGCGATCCGTTCGACTCTCGGCGTTTCTGTGCTCTAGGGCTTAAAGGCTTCTTGCTCTCAGTCAAAGCTCTTGGAGATTCTGAAAATGATGTATCTCATAAAGAACTGCAAATCCGCACGGATACCTCGGAATTGCAGAAGCTAGAGAGGGATTCAACTGCCGGTGTTAATGGAGCTCCCGCATTGGCTACATTCCCAAATTACATAGTGAGCTCTGCATTTTCGCCCCACTGGAAGCATATACTATTTGTTACTTTTCCCAGAGAGTTGGTGGTGTTTGATTTGCAGTATGAGACGGCATTATACTCTGCAGGGTTGCCCAGAGGTTGTGGGAAATTCATGGAAGTGTTGCCAGATACAAATATGCAGGTTTTGTACTGTGCTCATCTTGATGGGATGGTCAGTATTTGGCGGAGGAAAAAGTAAGTAATGTATAACCGACATTAGTATTGGCTAGAATGGTAGATTCTTGCCGCTCTCAGCTGGTAATTTACAATGTCTAAAAAATAAAAAAAAAAAAAAATTTGCTTGGTGTCCAAATATGAGATGTTTAGTTGTTTACTCCCCAGAGTATGAATTAGGCAATGAACTATGTCATGTTAGCGTTTCCAAAAAAAAAAAAAAAAACTATGTCATGTTAGTGACAACAACTTGGTCAAAACGCTATCTTTGTGCAAATTGCTAGTTAAGAAATGGAGATAAAGTGACATGGAAAAAGCTTCATTGTACTTTTTTGGGAGAATTAGTTTTAAAATTATTATTTTTAGGGTAGTTGTATCATGCATGAATAGTCAAAGTGTGTTATTAAGAGAAACAACAGACTTGCTGCAAAGAGCATTTTATTGAGCTCTATACTCCTTGAGGCTTTTGAAGATCATTGTGTGAATACCTTTGGTATTTATTCATTATGCTTAAAATTTACACAAGCAAGGAGCTTTTGATTTTCCCAAGAATTCTGATGTTTCTAGCTGAGTTGATTATAAATAACTGTATAGACAAATAGACAATTACTTTAGTAGCTTATGCGTGGTGTTGGTCAACTATGTTCTGGAAGTGCGAACAATGTGTACAAAAATTAGCGGGACCAGATTAAGATTCAAATCCTGTTCAAGCCTATTCCCTAACAAGTCCACTGTATGTTTGCTGTTAATAAAATGAATACGGATTGTGGAGTTTACGGTCCCATACTATCTGGACTGGGATCTTAATGCATATATTTGGTTTTAGTAATTTTGGACATGACAATGTCCATGGAGTTTGTTGTGTTTGCACTTTGCAGGATGCATAAGATAATATTTTCCTTGACATGTATATTTATTCAAAATTGAGACTTTGTAACCCATCTGCTGTCTTCTTCTAATGGCTTAAAATTTTTATTTCATTTCCACATAAACTTTGCAAGGCTTTCCTCTATAGATTATCTTCTCTAAAAGACTTAAGCCTGTATTTACATTGCATATTTTAACAGAGGAGAGCAGGTGTACACCATCTGTGCTATGGAAGAATTGATGCCCTCACTCGGCTCATCTGTCCCTTCTCCTTCAGTTCTTGCACTTACCATCTGCCATTCAGATGCTACCCTCCAAAATATCAGCAAACTTTATTCAGATGGATGCCAATCTCTTGAATTGGACTTTGATAATCCATTCGATTTTAGCGATGAATCTCTTGTCATTTCTAAAACACCATTAATTTCTATTTCTGATGATGGAAAAGTATGGAAATGGCTCCTGACTGCTGAAGGATCTGGAGATACTCAAAAGGATAAAATACAACCTGGCATTGCAGTGGAAGTTAGTAAATCTCTAGTTCAGCAAAAGGATCCTCAGATGGATATTTTGCCTTCAGATAGTTCTATGTCAATGAAATCAAATGGTGCTATTAGTAACAGTGGCTGTTTATCAAATGCTGCTAAAAATGACAAAGAGGTGTCATTTAAGGTTTGTATGTATACTAACATATTCGTCCCAAAATAGTATTTTCTGTATCCCTTGCTCTTTTAAGTAAGAGACCTAGTAGAATTGCAAAATAATGATTATTGGTCAATCATTTGCCTGACATATACTGTTTTAACCACCATACTAAGAAAAACAAAGTCTAATACTCCCATTTTCTATTTTATGCTAGAACAACCTTGATTTTGCATCAAGTTTGTCAGGGAAAACTGAAAAGACTAGTGTTCAGAATTTATGGCTGAAGAAAATGATGGATAAGATTATAGGTCGACTATATTTATATTTATATAAGGAGTCATTCATAAGATCCTAATGCCTTTAGTTGATGGATGTGTTGGACTTGGTGATTTTTAAGAGCATGGTTACAGATGTTGTAGACTAAAAATTTGTGAGATATGTACTGATTGTATCCATTGGTTGAGCTGGATGTTAATTTTCTTGCTATATATGTTAAGGCTTTAATTGGGAGAAATATCTTTTAGCTTGTGGTGGAACCATGCTACGTAGTCTGGACTATCGTAGTCTGGACATAGTCCATTCTTTTTCTTTTTCTAGGTGGGTTGTGGCCTGTGGGTTAGGGAATCGTTTCCTTGTTTGTGGATGGGGTATTATTATGAATGCATGATAAATCATGACTCAATTAAATTTTATTGGCCTTCAAGACTCAAATAGATCTTTACATTTTATAAAGTTTCTTGCTGCCATAGCAATCATTTTGTAAAGCTCAAGGTCTAACCTATTTATGCAGATTAGCCTAGTTGGACAGCTTCATCTTCTTTCTTCAGCAGTGACTATGCTGGCTGTACCATCACCTTCTTTGACCTCTACTGTGGCACGTGAGTGTTGTCTATTACTATTTTGAATAGTTATTAAGTTTAACATGTACTAAGACCCTATAGGAGACTACTTTTTTTGTGTACTAAAAGTGGGTGTCTTAAAACATTAAGGTGGGGGAAACTCTCCAGCTGTAGCAGTTCCGCTAGTTGCTTTGGGAACTCAAAATGGTTCAATTGAGGTCATTGATGTTTCTGCCAATGCTGTCGCTGCTAGTTTCTCTGTCCATAACAGTGTTGTTAGGGGATTACGGTGGCTTGGGAATTCTAGATTGGTGTCGTTTTCTTACACACGGGTGAGAAACATGTTACTTGAGCTTTATCATTTTCTTTGGAACAATTAAATTTTAGCACATCTCATTTGTTGAGGTCTAGTGAGAAGCTTTTTTCAATCACTTTACTCATTTGAAGCAATGGGTTGCATTTTTCAAGTACTTTACTAGTGTTCCTCAGCGATCAGCGTTCATATACAAACTTTTATTACATGTTAACTTTGTTTTTTTCCCCAGGGAACGGAAAAATCAAGCGGCTTTACCAATAGGCTTGTTGTGACTTGTCTTAGAAGTGGGCTTAATCGAACATTTCGAGTTCTTCAGAGACCAGAACGAGCACCTATAAGAGCTTTAAGGGCCTCATCTTCTGGAAGGTTTGTGGAAGACCTAAATCTCTGAATATTCTTTCTGTTATTTACTGCCACTGTGCTGATTGATTGCATGTCTCTGCAAGGCAACTGATATTCTTCTACTATGTCAGCACACAATTAAGCACCATTGGTCGTGTCCTTTTTGAATCATATGAAGTTATGTAGTTCTCAAGAAATTTATCATTGTTATTATTTAATCTTTATTGCATTTTTTTTTAAATTTTTATTTATTTTTAAAAAGTAAAAGATTGCTACTGTACTATGTTTGGTCATTACTAACTTGGGAAGATATGACCTTATCATAGGCTTCATTTCTCTAGAACCACAATGATTTTTTATGCCCTTGAAAAGAGTGTCTTTGTATGGCTGTAGTCATTGAAGTGACCACCATCATTGAAGCGTCTCAGGCTCTCAGCTATGTATTAGTAGGGGTTTTTTTTGGTAAGGCGAGGCAAGCTTGTTAAGCGACCGGACGCCTTAACAACAATGCTTTGTGACATTTTTTCCTTATTGATAAATTACTATTCTATTTCTAATTTTATTTTTGAGACACTCGTCATGCTCTAACTCCAGTTATTTATCACTTCATAGTTGTGATTTGTGAAGTTTAGATGGTACACTGTTACGGGTTTTACGTTTTAGCCACTGTCCTGTAATATATTTATTTATTGGCTTACCACCTTCTACTTTTATACATCATTTAGTTCACTTTTCAACAAATTATTGACTGCATTCAGCTTCTTTTGTACATACTGTCAATTGGGGTTGATTAATTGGTTTTCAACAATAGCTCCCTTTAAACATCTCAAGGAATTAAAATATAAATTTCTGTGCATTGGACATTTTCTTTGCTCTTGCTGATCATAATTCTTGAGCAACTGCAAGAAATGTGTTCTCATAATTTGCAAAAACTATTTAGGTATCTTCTAATCTTGTTTCGTGATGCTCCTGTAGAAGTTTGGGCAATGACAAAGACTCCAATAATGGTACATCAGTTCATTCCTCCATTTTGTATAATAATTGTTTACAAGTTTTGTGGACTGTTTATTATTATTATTATTATTATCATTATTATTATTTATTTATTTATTTATTTAATTCCAGTGGCATTTTATTTGTTTGATTCTAGTTATCACTTTGGATCTTATAGTTTTAGATAAACAAATTGTTTTGGATTCTGAATGTTGAAATAATGAAGATTTGAAAAGCACCTAGTGAAATCTTTTCCTGCCCTAGGGAGTTGGTAACTTTTTTGTTTAACAAACAGGTTTATTGAATGAAAATAACACTTATACATGGTTGAAACTTTCATGTTTTGAAAACTATAAATGTTGCAATTGAGGGAACAGGCAAGTGAACAAATTGGGCCATAATGGATTTGGGTCAAACCAAGATTCAAAAGTTGAATCGAATTGATTAGCTAGTTGAACACTTGAACCCATATCATTATAAACTCTCTCTCTCTCTCTCTCTCTCTCTCTCTATCTCTCTCTCTCTAGTTTTTCACTATAGGAAACTTAAACTATAAAAATCATATTGGTTGTGAGGAGCATAGCATGGTTGGTGTTTGGGTATCATGAGGAGGTGCACTTGAGATTTTTGAGAATGCCATAGAGATTCCAGGGATAAAATTATTGGAGAGGAGGGAGTTTTTCTTTTATTCCATGGACAATTCTGTAGAGTCTCCCTGAAGTTTCTTACAACATTGTAGAGATCACCTGCATTTCCAATTTTGCAGAACCTACCTTCTTATTCCAAAATTGAGATCCTAATTGCCTACAGTTGTTTCGGTTTGTATTTTCATTCTGGCTTCACAGTTCCCAAGTCCCAACTGTTACTTTTGCGCATATCAAGTGTTTTAGATCATTCTCAATTTATAATTTTTAATTCAAAACTTGAAAATAATATTACATTGTTGTGCCTTTGCTGACGTGTGTGTGTGCGCGCAATACTGTAACTTCTTGATTGTAATTAAATCAGAGATTGATAGATCTTCTAGCTTCAACACAGTTCCTTCTTCTAATCTCGCTTATTGGCATTGTAGACTTCAATACTCTTCCATTTTTTGGTTGCTTACCTTGAGGTTGGCTCATATTGTATTGAATTTTATTATGCAGCTTAGATCATTAGCTCTGCCATTCACTGTACTGGAATGGAGTCTTCCAACAGTCCCACGTCCATCATCTAAAGATCATACAGCAGTGTCGGCTGAGACATCTTCCCCAAAGGCATCTCCATTGGACTCTAGTGAGCTAAATCTTTCTAATGAATTGTAGCTGCAGCACTTTTTTGAATGTTTCTTATTTGCTAGTGTGTGCTACTTATGCGGGAAGAGCAATTTTGATTGCAGAATCTGGTACTGATGGATCTCAAGATGAGTTTTCTGAAACTTTTTCATTTGCATTGGCAAATGGGGCGCTTGGAGTTTTTGAGGTTCATGGACGAAGGATCCGAGACTTCAGGTATGCATACTTATTGAAGTATAAACTACAGAACTTGACTGAGTTTTTGCCCTGACAATCAACTATTTGGTTGGATGAAACTTGTCAAAATAATAATACAGAGTAATAATAAAATAAGATAAAGTAATTGGTTGGATAAATTGGATCACTAGGGCGATATTGCACATTAATGCAGCAATTCCATAAAAACTTTGTTGTGTCATTTTGTGATAATGGTTAAGTTATAAAACTATTTTAACTCCATTCAATATCAAAATTTCGCCTGTTTTGAGGACTTTTTCAAGGAACATTATATTTAAATATAACTATCTAATCGTTTATGCACATTTGCCAATATATTATGTAGCAGTTGATTACAATGTGGGAGAAACAATAAAAAAAGTTGGATTTAGTAACCAAATGATTTGACTCAAGTGATACTGCGTGGACTGGTTTCAGTAGCATCATTTAACTTCCTATCAGATGGACAAATTCTTTTCTTCATCTTTCATTTGATTGCTGGTTCAATAAAATGAATTCAATAAACCTATAAATAGTTTTCATCACAAACTGAGTGTTTGGGTGTTAGAGGTTGCAGTGAGCTTGTAACTTGCCAAACCTTAGTATTTTTTCATCCAGTCGCAGTGAATTTAATATATTTTTCCAAATAGGGAATTTTCAGTTCATCAATTTCATTATGTTTAAAGAAATGAATTGTAACCAATATTATATTTTCTGCAAAATGACTCCTTTCTTTGAGTTGTGGGTTACAGAGGTGAAGGAACCTTTTCTTTATTGTGATCATAGTTTATGTGCCACTTCCTTGACTAAAACTGCTTATTTCTACAACACTGTCTACTTACAGACCAAAGTGGCCTAATTCTTCATTTGCTGCATCTGATGGATTGGTAACAGCCATGGCCTATCGTCTGCCTCACGTGGTACATTTGATATAGTCTATATATCTTAAACCTGATAATGCTTCTTCTTACAACATTTCCTAATTATAGGCAGTAATTGAATTACCATGCAGGTTATGGGGGACAGGTTGGGGAACATACGCTGGTGGGATGTTGTCACTGGCCAGTCATCCTCATTTAACACTCACAGGGAAGGGATACGGAGAATTAAGTTCTCACCTGTTGTTCCTGGGGATCGTAGCCGTGGGCGCATTGCTATTCTATTTTATGATAACACATTTTCTGTATTTGATTTGGTAAGAAAAACATTTGTATCTTCTGTTTTTATTTTTATATCCTTCATTTCCTCTTCTTCCCTGTCAAGATGAAGGGGGGTATGTATGATCAAATTTGTTATGAAAATTACATAACAAAGGCCAGTTAAAATGATACTCTTATACGCCCAATTTGGATACAACTTATAATAAGCACATTTAGTTATAAGGTTCACCATTTTTAACTGCCTTTTAAAAACTGTTTTTAGCTTATGCTTATAAGCTCCTTGGAATAGCTTATGGAGCAAACAGCTTTTCCAACTCTAACCAATCACACCAATATTAGTTGCATAATTGATAGAGTAATTGGTTTTTGATGCATAAAACTTTAACAAATAATTGATGCCTTAATGTATTTTTTTGACCTTCTCTTCCTGTTTTGTCAAAGCCATATATGAAAGATTAATTGGTATCGGACCATGGAAGTTGGAACTTGAAAGCATGCTTTGTGACATGCATCTAAACTTTCTTTACTTGAGGGCCCTAACATATTTCTCATTTTCTCAATTAAACCTTTCAAATTGTGTCTGATTTGCAGGATTCACCAGATCCATTAGCCAATTCGCTTCTACAACCTCAATTCCCTGGAACTCTTGTCTTGGAACTTGATTGGTTGCCTTTGAGAACTGCTAAGAGTGATCCACTTATATTGTGCATTGCTGGAGCTGATAGCAGCTTTCGTCTTCTTGATGTTAATATGTATGTTTTGACAAGGATTTGAGTTTGCTATGCTTTCTATGTTCTGTTATTCCTTTTATCTCATCCTGCTCCATTTGTGTGATACAGATTGGGTAGTCACATAGTTTAAGGGAAATTTTGAGTGAGATATTATACAAAGAAAACGTAAAAGCAACAGTTGAGTTTGAACTTCGTGAAATCATCACATCACTATCATTTTTGGGTTTGAATTCTTGAAAAATGTATATAAAGCAGCATTACGTAAAGTGTCCAAAAAGGGAAAGAGAGTCACACACCTTTGGACTGAAGTAGTGTGATTATATCCCTTTTTTCTCAGTATCTATTACTATGTGAAATTGTGAATAAATATAGAATTTCAAAGTGACCTTATTAGTCACATCTTATTGCTGATTCTAGTAGGGTGGGGGAACTGGTTTGCCATGTTCTAGTAGGGTGTTTCACAAGAATGACAAGTTCATGGTTTTCTAATTTGTTTATGGGAATTACCAAATTCAATAGTGAGAAGAACTTTGATTTGGATTCTCTTAATGCAGTTTCTTTAATCCTTAATGCATCATTGACACATTGTTTATTGCTTATTTTCTCCATTTGGTATCTCTAGTTCTTGGAGTTGCAACATCTTATTTGCTGTTGGCTTTCATTTTTGCAGAAATGATAACAAAATAGCTTATGCCCCCCAGGCTCGATCAATCAAAGAGAGATACCGGCCAGTGCCTTTGTGCTCTCCTGTACTATTACCTACACCACATGCCATGGTAAGTTCGTATATATCAATGCTCTCTCCCAGATTCTATAGTATACTTTTTTTTTTTTTTTTTTTTTTTTTTTTTTTTTTTTTTTCTTTCGCCATGTCTTTGAGAACATAAATTAACATAGGTTGGTAGCAGATAGTGTCCAGGGGCACACTTTCTGGTGACCAGCAACTGAATCATTGTGCGGATAAACTAGCTAATCTGGGTCTGGTAGCAGATAGTGTGGTGTAACTATCTTGGAAACACCCCAACTGCCTCCAACAAGTTTTTTTTTTTTTTGCGGTGGGGGGGCTTAGAATGGATAAGAACAAAAATTTTCTATATATTGTTTTCTGCTGTACCTAAAAAAAAAAAAAAAAAAAAAAAAAAAAAACTAACTCTGAATCCAAATGTATTTGGGTCAATGCTATGAAAACTAATAATGTTTTATAAATGGATTCAGTAATACGTTGTGATTGATTGGTGTTGTACACACACATGGATTGAATACATATTTAATACTTAGCACAGTGCAATAAACTTGACAAGCACTAAATTTCCTCTCCTTTTTCTGGAATGTTCTTCCATCTCAATTTGAAGAAGCAGCTGGAAAATAGCAATCATCCAAGAGCATGCTTATTTTTCTGCTTGTTTGTTTAACTTATTACAGGCATTGCGGACAATCTTACAGCTGGGTTTGAAGCCATCATGGTTCAATACAGTCAGTACAACAATGGACAAGGGGCATTATGAAGTTACTGCAACTCCCTCTTCCACTAGTGATCTTTGCAGTTACATGTTGCATTCCCCGCGCATTGGCGACTCTGTAGTGCCAGAAATGCTTCTTAAAGTATTGGAGCCTTATCGTAGAGAAGGTGTGTACTGCTCTATGTTTTAGGAAATGTTTATTTGAACATTTCCATATTTTGGTCATAACTTGATTGGTAGTAATTGCAATTTATTTCTATTTCCATTGTTTGTGCTCAAGGCTGCATGCTTGATAATGAGATGGTGAAACTCTATGGTAGTATAGTCAACAAAGGTTGTGCAGTAAGACTTGCTTTTGCCGCTGCCATATTTGGTGAACCAATGGAAGCACTTTTCTGGCTGCAATTACCTAATGCTGTTAACCACTGGATGAAGAAGTTGGTTAACAAGTCTCCAACAGTCTCTCAATCTACATCAGCTCCGGAACTTGATGAGGCAACTATGCTTAATAGGATATCATCAAGGGGAAAAGTAGCCCCTGGATCAGAGGAAAGGAATGTGGTGGTTAGTCATTTAACTTGTTCACAATGAATATTTGACACTTTAAAAGCTAGTTTCATTATGGCTATGATTGCCACAATGTCATGCAAAGTGAGCTGGCTATCTCTCTGGCAGGGTAAGAGTAAATTGAAGTTGATGGCTTTTGAAGAAGAAGAGTTATTGAAGTGTGCTAATGAGCGTATACCTTGGCATGAGAAACTGGAGGGTGAAGAGGCTATCCAAAACCGTGTACATGAGTGAGTGCTATCACTTAGCTACTCCTGATTTTGTCATTTATATTGTTTCATTTTCTATGTACCAAGGACAATGCTTTTATGAGTCCCTTGGGGCAGTCAGCTTAACCCACCAAACACTATAAATTCTAGACGTGGGCACAATTCAGGTGATATACCACCCAAAAACCAAAATTACTGATCCAGACATCTGGAACCCAGAGATTGTAAACAGAATCTACCCTAAATTAAGTAGTTTCAGGTGATGGGTTTCATTTAAACAATCAAACCCAAAACCCTCATTTATAAATAAAAACCCATGTATATATTTCAAAATATAACGCATCTCTTATATATGGGGCTCACGCTTAAAATTCTGAAACCCTTTTCTTTCCATGCCCAATTACCCATTTGGTAAATTTGTAGTTATTGAACATTAGAAATTAACTTCATTCCCCCAATTTTTTATTTATTTATTTATTTTTTTTTGGGGGAGGGGGGGGGGGGGGGGGGGGGGGGGGGCGCTTGGGGGAACCTTTAGGTATAAGATAAATTTACAAGAAAAAAAAAAAAAAAAACTTCTTCGCAGTACATTGCCCTGCCAAAGCTGCCATGTAAATATTTGCCTTTCCTAATACATGTTCTTTTTGGCAGTTGTTCTGTAATTCATTAAGGATTTGATTTTTTTAATCACCTGTTTAGCCCTAATATTCTGCTATGCTTGTTCATTATCAGACTTGTGTCTGTTGGAAACTTAGAAGCTGCTGTTAGTTTGCTACTTTCAACTCCTCCAGAAAGCTCATATTTTTATGCAAATGCATTACGTGCTGTTGCTCTTTCATCTGCAGTGTCAAAGTCTCTACTTGAACTTGCAGTGAAGGTACTTGCTTCTCTAACTGCGTCCTTTTATGCTAGACTTTATTTGGATATTCATCTCATACTTCATCACTTCTTGCTATACTTGCACAGGTGGTTGCCGCAAATATGGTTAGAACAGACAATTCATTATCTGGCACACATCTGCTTTGTGCAGTTGGGAGGTATCAAGAAGCTTGTTCTCAGGTACCATGCCCCCATTTGCTCATGTAACAGTGCGGAGTTTTTTTGCTTTCGAGATCATGTTAAATTTGGAAGAAATCTTCTAAGTTTTGCTATTTCCCAGTAGAGCATTCACTGTCACGTGTCATCATTCTTTATGATTTGAAGTTGGAAGCATGTTGATATTTCTACCTACCCTTCCTTTAGACCTTTACATCCTGTCATGTTCATGATTTCACATATTGGTGGCAACTGTTAAATCTCTTTCATTTTGGACATTTCAAGAGGTATTGGCAAGGTCCTCCGTTAAAAAGTGAGGACGGATCACAACGGCCCATTACAGTTCATCAATGGTTGAGGGTTTTAGAGAAAAAAAAAAACACGCGGCCAATTTTATAATTATTGCAAACTTTCAAGTTTGCAATATTTATAAACTGACCTTGCTCCTTTTTACCTTATTTTTCTGCAACCCTCAACCGTTGATCTATCCAAATGGATGGATCAGATCAATCCTCACTTTTTATCTTGGGAGCCTGTTTTCACCTGAACCCTCCCATATATATATATATATATATATATATATATATATATATATATATATATATATATATATATATATATATATATATTTGATATTGATTTCTGTCAGATATTTTGAGCTGATCTTTCACTGTTCTCTGTGACAGCTACAAGATGCCGGATGCTGGACAGATGCTGCAACATTAGCTGCTTCACATTTAAAAGGATCTGACTATGCAAGGTTATTTACTTCTCTCAAGTTTGTATGAATGATTGAATGGACATTGAAGCTCTGAATTGCTACTATTATTAGATTCATAAGTATGATGTGTCAATAGCCTGCATTATTTACAGTCTTCTCATGGTAATGCCTCTGCATGTAACCATGTGCATGCTTATCTGTTAGACTATAAATTTCTTACCATATCTGTAGTGTCTGGTCTGCTTTTCCTAATTTAGACAAGGGACAAGAACCAAATGCTGTCAAGTACACTACTGCACGGAGGGAACACGTTTTTTGATAGTGTCAGCAGCATATAAGATGCTAGCTGTCAAAAAAATCCACGGAACCTTTCTTGTTGGAAAGTTTAGTTGTATGCAGTTGTTTGACTTGCACTCACTAGAGATTTGAAAGTCATGTCTGTATTCATAGTACTAATTGCAAATGTGTTTGGAGTATTCTTACTTTTGTGTGCTTTATCCTGAAGGGTTTTGCAACGGTGGGCTGAGCAAGTGCTACATGCTGAACATAACATTTGGAGGTACAATATTTTCAGTGATCTTCGATTTTCTAATAGTTTTGGATGCTCCCTCCTCAACTCTTCTAGATGTGTTTCCTTAACCTATCGTGATGGTTTGCAGGGCACTTATCTTGTATGTCGCAGCTGGCGCATTTCAAGAGGCATTAGCAGCACTGCGTGAGGCACAGCAACCAGACACAGCAGCAATGTTTATTCTTGCTTGCCGTGAAATACATGCTGAACTGGTGTCAAGTTTGGATTTGGATGACGAAGCTATAGCAGCAGTGAAGGATAAGTTGGTTAACTTGCCAGGAGTGAGTCCTGAAAATGTAGACGCGATTGCGGTTGTTGAATATTATGGGCAATACCAAAGAAAACTAATCCATCTTTGCATGGATTCACTACCATCCTCTGATTAACTAAACTTGACTCCATACCTTTTACTTTTATTTAGGTTGGTAAAGGTGGTCTCTTCGCCTTTCTTCATATATTTATGATTAGTTCTGTGTGGATCCAGAAGGTCTGTAAATGTACTTTTGTATTTATTATATTGGATGAGATATCCATTCATTGATTAAATGAACGCATTTTGGGAAACAATGTTATATATTTTTTGTCAATCTCAACATCTTTGGCTTGTGTTGCTTTTAGCTTCTCTCATCTCAACAATTCAGCATTCCAATCTTTCTTTGTTTGCAGGCCTTTCTACAGGAATCCAGTGCCCAGTGGTGCTTCTGCTGCTGCCGCAATCAAAGATTTGGAAAGTGTTAGATCAAATGCATATCATTATGTCAAAAACTATAGTTAGTAGGGAAGATATAATTTTATTTCTTAATACTATCATATATTTTTGAGAGCCAAGGTGCTACTTTGAATCTTTATAAGCTTTCGCCAACAATCTCCTTAGTCACATGGTGCTGGACAGCAAATTATATCGTCAATCATAACCAACCAAAACATTGAATCAAAATTCAAAATATTCAGAAACTTTGACTTTCATCATTGAATCAAAATTCAAAATATTCAGAAAGTTTGACTTTCATTACCAATTTTTTTTTTTTTTTTTTTTTTTTCACACCTGACACCTCTAGGAGGCTGGGTGTAAGGGAAAAAATAATAAATAAAATTGAAAAATGTCTGGAAGATGGACAGAAACTGGGGAGTAGAGACACCTCTCCTTCACCATTATCACAACCATCTTCAACTGCTTCTCTTCTACCCTAAACCCTAAAGTTGCAATTGCAATTTCAATTTCAATTTCTCATACAAGCAATCACGAGAGAGAGAAAGAGAAATGGCATATGTTGCTTTAACTTCTTTGATGGCAACACTTGAGCTTCAGTTTCTGCAACCCATCCCAAGGGTGTCTCTTCATGATGATGATCACCAATATGTCTTACCTTTATTCGATTTCCTTTGTTTTTTGCGAGAATTTCTAGAGATATACAATTTCCGCAGTGCACCCAGAGATTTGGAAATCAAAATCAGAGACTTTGCACTTGAGGCGGAAGACAACATTGAAACACAAATAAGCAACTTTCTTCTTCTACTGTCCAAACACAATAATCAAGAAGAAGCTTCCCAACAACTCTCTCGAACCTTGCAAGAAGCAGCACAAAACGCAGCACAGTTGGTGAACATTACCATTCCAGTAAAAAAGGGAGAAACAGAGAGAAAGATGACTTGCGAGGCTTTAACTTCTCTCATAGGGGAGATTCGGGTTGACTTTGCGGCCTCGGGGAAAATAAGGGCGGATCTTGTTCCAGCCACACTCATCGAATCTCTCATAGAAAACCTTTCTTCTTTACGAGAATTTCTAGAGATATCCAATTTTCATGCTGCTGCAGTCAAAGATTTGGCTACCAAAATCAGAGACTTTGCATTCAATGCAAAGCAGGACATCACTAACCAATCAAATCATCTTCGCCATTCCAACAAACTCCTCCAAACCTTGCAAGAAGTAGCAGACAACACAGCAGAGTTGTTGAACAGTATCAACAACACAGCCAAAGAATTGGAAGCTGATGATGATGATACCAATCAAACTCAACACCCACCTATTCATATTCCTTGGTTAAAACATAATAATGCATCCCAGTCTGTGAATGTGAATGTTAAGGGGTCATCCTTGAGATGCTCTGAGGACACAATAATGGTGGGACGTCAAAATGATGTTACTGCAATAATGGATCGACTCTTCAGTAGCTTTGGTGGTATAGATGTAATCCCAATTATTGGGATGCCCGGCATAGGAAAGACTACTTTGGCTCGAAGGATTTTTGAAGATCAATTAGTTTCACTGCATTTCGAGGTAAAAATCTGGTTTACTATGCCTAAAAAATGCAATGAGATCCAAATCCAAAGAGACCTCCTTCAGTCAATTACACAAGTAGTTGAGCAACATGAATTTAAAGATGGAAGAACTCTATGTGAGATGGTGCAGGAATGCTTGAAAGGCAGGAGGTATCTAATTGTTTTAGATGACATATGGAGCGCTCAGCATTGGAAATATATCAAATCTTGTTTTCCTAGTTATTATCAAGGAAATCGCATATTGCTGACCACCTGGTTGTATGAAGTAGCTCATTATGCTTGCCCATCCAAAGGTAATCATCATGTTATGAGTTTACTAGCTCCAAATGAAAGTTGGGATCTATTCTGCAATATGTTTCCTCTTGAAAAGTATAGGGCACCAAGATTTGAAAGCTTTAGGAGTCATTTGTCCAATGTTGTGGATAAATGTGATGGACTGCCACAGGCAATTGTTATAGTTGCAGAGCGTTTATCGGAATGCAAAGACAACATAAAACATGAATTGAAAAAGATTGAAAAAGAAATTGAGTTGTTGGGAATTCTAGATTATAGTGCACTCACACCCATTTACAATCAGTTGCCAGAATATTTGAAAGTTTGCTTTTTATATCTTGGAATCTTTCCGAAGCGTAGTGAAATCAAAGTCAAAACGCTTCTTAGGTTATGGGTTGCAGAAGGATTTGTGAAGCCATCATGGAATAAGGAGTTAGAAGGAATTGCTTATTGTTACTTAAAGGACCTCATTGATAGAAATCTTGTGTTAATAAGCAAACAGACTTTTGATGGCAAAATTAAGACTTGTAGGGTGCACAGTGTCATGCATAACATCTGTTTCAGAGAGGCTCAAAAAGACGGAATTTTATGTGCAGTAAATACTAGGCAACTCCCAAGGTGGTCATTAAATAATGCATTTGCAAATTCATGCCGTTGGTTAAGTTTATGCAAACATAGTTTTGACTATTATGTGTTGTTTAAATTAAACAAACCTCGCTCCGTTTTCTTCTTTCAAGACAATTCTGAAATTTTGGTACCGTTCAAGCTGTTAAGAGTTTTGGCATTCGTTCCATCTCCATTCCTCCAAAGAGTGCCAATGCATTTAGGGGATTTGCTTTTTCTGAGATATTTATCTATAACACAATGGTTTGAAGGTCTCAACAGTGTAGTGTCAACTAATCTGAATTTGCAGACTCTTGTTGTTTGCCGAAGTGACATTGAATCACAACTTGGAATACCTACTCTCCATTTGCCATTAACAATTTGGGAGTCACCACAATTAAGGCATCTTGAACTTGGTGCTTTGTATACGGTTGATCCTCCCAGTGTGGTAAAAGATAATTTGCAAACATTATCTTGGGTAGGTCCAACTCATTGCAGAAAGGAAGTGTATTCCAATTTTCCCAACATAAAAAAACTAAAAATATTCTGTAAAGAAGACTTAGAGCCCAGTCACATTGGTGGATTTTCCAGCAAACACATCATTTTGGATAACTTGGGCTATTTAGGACGACTTGAGAGTCTAATGATTTCAGTTTCTGTTGGCTGCATTGTAACATTTCCTGAACGGTGTATGTTTCCTTCACAACTGAAGAAATTGAGTTTGAGTGGGACTAATCTTTCTGGATGGGATTTAACAATAATTGGCTCATTGGAACGTCTTGAGGTGCTGAAGCTGGAAAATGCTTTCCATAAAGAAGTGTGGAGAGTAGATAAAGGAGGATTTTATGGATTAAAGTTGTTGCTCCTTAAAGATAAAAAACTCAAGAGGTTGGAAGCTTACAGAGATGGTTTCCCATGTCTTGAGCACCTAGTTCTAAGATGTTGTCATTATTTGGAAGAGATTCCAAGCAGTTTTGGCGAAATTTTCTGCTTGAAGTCAATCGAGTTGGATATGTGTAGCCGCCCTTCCATTGTTGCTTCTGCCAAGGATATTGAAGAGAAGCTAAAGACAAATTTTGGACAAGCAAATTTTGAGGTTAGAAGGAAGCTCTGGCTATTTATTCTTTTGTATACTACTAGACTAGATGCAAAATCTGTTACTATTTTATTATTTTCTGTATTTTAATTTGCATTACTTTTTCATAGATCAAAATCCAGGAGCACATAGTAGGGTGTGATGAAGACGATGTTGGGGTTGGAAAATTTGAAAAAGAAAAAATTGAGGTTAGAAGATATGACTCAGATCGAACTTATTTGCAGAATGTGTTACTATTTAATATTTTTGTAACCTCATGTTTTCATGGATCAAAATCCAGGAGGGTGAATATGATGAATTATCAGTAGGGCACATGGCAGGTGTTGACAAATTCAAGTCATACATCCACAAATTAAAGAATAAAAGATGGAGAAATCTGTTCAGGGCCAAGCAGATTTGAGAACGAAGAGCAACATGAAATGAGAAAACTGGTATGTATGTGTATATATATATATATATATATACTATATAGGCTGATGTTCACATGGGAACCAACCTCCCATGAGTCCATGAGAACCAATCTGGTGCATTAAAAAAATAGATCTATCGATGAGATTAATTGGGGATTAAAAGCGCGCGTGCATATGGCATTATGATGTCTGCATATTAAGCATGTGTTGTGTGCACATGCTTAGTATGCACACATCATAATGTCCATATGCGCTATTCCGATCCTTTCATCAAGCTTCAATTGTGTCTAATTGGTTGTATTGGTTCAGGTCTATATAATTGGAGGGGATGGAACCCAAAAAGGAGCAACTGCTATCTAGCTATGAGGTATTTTTATTTAAGGTGGGAGGATTACCTAATGCCTCTATCTATGAATTTAAAATGCTTACCTTAGAATGAAATACCCATTTCTTATCGTAAAGGAGTTTTATCTTAGCTTTTCAACCATTTTACTGAATATTATATTTTCATGTTAAAGTGGTGGCTTACATATCAAAACTTACAAGCATTTGTATTTCTTTGAAACATATTTTCCTTAGATGAAGTTGATCCATTGCCATTATATTATTGAGAAAACTAACCAATTCAATCCCCAATAACCTCTGCATCTTTGCATGATGTCTATCAGCTTTATCTTGATTCTTATTTCTATCTGATGCTATTATTTTTTATATTGGACTATAACCATTTCCATTGGATTGTCAGTGGTCAAAATTGCCTAGTGCCTATATTGGTAGCATAACAATAACTTTGTCACTGAATGCCATATAATTTGTGAGTTTAATGTGGATACATGCATGACCAACTAGCTATGGTTTTTGTTTTATGTAAAGTGAAAGTTTGAGTATTTGTCACGTGTAAGTCATTATTAGAATAGTTCTCTTTCATTATTTCAGGAAGTAAGGCGGCGTGGTCTCAAAGTTTCTGTTGCTGGGATTTCTAAGACAATAAATTGATAATGATATTCCGGTATTTCTCATTCCTTCACAGATTTGTTTGTGAACAAGAACATGCTGTGGTATTGGTTCACTAATCATTGTATTTCATCTAACCGGATAATACATGCCATGTTTGAGTCTTCTCATCTAGTGTATGATTGTGTCATATAGCTGTCAAAAAAATCCATGGAACCTTTCTTGTTGGAAAGTTAAGTTGTATGCAGTTGTTTGACTTGCACTCACTAGAGATTTGAAAGTCAAATGTCTGTATTCATAGTATTAATTGCAACTGTGTTTGGAGTTTTCTTACTTTTCTGTGCTTTATCCTGAAGGGTTTTGCAACGGTGGGCTGAGCATGTGCTACGTGCTGAACATAACATTTGGAGGTACAATATTTTCAGTGATATTCTATTTTCTAATAGTTTTGGATGCTTCCTCCTCAGCTCGTCTAAATGCTTTTCCTTAATCTATCGTGATGGTTTGCAGGGCACTCATCCTGTATGTTGCAGCTGGCGCATTTCAAGAGGCATTGGCAGCGAGCGCTCTTGTTTATTCTTGCTTGCCGTGAAATACATGCTGAACTCTTGCCGAGTTTGGATTTGGATGACGAAGCTGTAGCGTAGTGAAGGATAAGTTGGTTAACTTGCCCGGAGTGAGTCCTGAAAATGTAGACGCGATTGCGGTTGTTGAATATTATGGGCAATACCAAAGAAAACTAATCCATCTTTGCATGGATTCACTACCATCCTCTGATTAAGTAAACTTGACTCTATATACCTTTTTTTTACTTTTATTTATAGGTTGGTAAAGGTGGTATCTTCTCTTGGTGCTGTTTTCATATATTTCTGATTAATTCTTTGTATCCAGAAGGTCTGTAAATGTACTTGTGTATTTATTATATTGGATGGGAGTATGGGACATCCATTCATTGATTAAAGAGAAAATTACACTTTTGGTCTTGTGACTATTGGGGTCTTGTTAATTTCAGTACTTGACTTTAAAAACTAACAGTTTAGTTCCATAACTATGTAATTTTTAACACATTTGGTTCTTCCGACCAAATTGCTGGTCAAATGTTGCCGGAAAAAACATAAACTTTTTAAAATTATTTAGTCATAGGGGCAAAATGGTCATTTCAAGGTTAAAAAAAAAAAAAGGAAAGTTATTTGTGATGGCTAGAAGACTTCGGCGAAATGCAATACCCCAAAATTATGCTTTTAATCTCAAAATGAAAAAAACAATGTTTGTCCTCTAATGTTTATATGGTAACTGGGATCATCACGCAATCAAGATCAAGATCATCACGTCGCCGACAACTGCAATGTTTATATGTTTCCAACGGCACCGAGAACTGCAATCAAGATCATCACGTCGACAATGGCGGACCGAGATTTTTCACACGCCGGGATGTTCAGTTGGCTCTTTGCCGAAATTTTTCTTTGTGCTCGGTTGATTTGCCGGAATTTCCCACATGGGTCGACTGAATTCACGGATTTGGGCATGGCTATGCCTATGGATGTGTGTTCATCAACCGGCGCGATTGAAGCCACCGTCGGAAAATCAAATCCAGATCGACCCACCCGCTATGAATTTGCACCTGCTGTCTGGAATCAATAGCGTTGTTCCGCCGGTTAATGCCCCAGCCAGAGAGGCTCTGGATGACTTTCAGCTCGATATTCTTTTCCGGCAGAGGTATTTTTGGTGTCTCTGGAAGTCTCCGTTTGGTTGAAGGAAGAAGAATGGAAACTCACAGTCTCTGTTTGGGTTGAATTCTACTTCTGGCCGTCGCTGCAAGAAGGAAGAAGAAGAATGGCGGAGAAGGAAGAAGAACGAAGAAGAAGGGAAGAGCAGGGAGAAGAAGACTAGAAGAGCATATAATGACCATTTTACCTCAATAACTAAATAGTTTTAAAAGGTTTACATTTTTCCGGCAACATTTGACTTGTGTTAAAATTTGCATAGTTACGGGACTAAACTGTTAGTTTTTAAAGTCAAGTACTCAAATTAACAAGACCCTAATAGTCACAGGATCAAAAGTGTAATTTTCTCTTGATTAAATGAACACATTTTGGGAAACAATGTTATATATTTTTGTCAATCTCAACATCTTTGGCTTGTGTTGCTTTAGCTTCTCTCATCTCAACAATTCAGCATTCCAATCTTTCTTTGTTTGCAGGCCTTTCTTCAGGAATCCAGTGGCGCTTCTGCTGCTGATGCAATCAAAGATTTGGAAAGAATTCCAAGAATCTGAGATTATATTCGTGGAGTTCCCAAACACAACCCTAAGGTGACAACTTTAGTTATCATCCTGTGTTCATGTGTGGCTAAATTACATGTAAACATATCTTAACAATCTAAGCATAAATACCAAATGTAGTAATTAATAAGTGCCCAAGGACCTTGTGGTCTACTGGCACCAAATTGCTCCGTTATGTGGAAGGTTGTGGGTTCGAGCCTCAAGGTCACAAACTTTACCTAAAAGTGTAATTAAACACTCAAATTAGTCATTTTGATACATTTACATTTAAACCCAAATGACCGGTTGTTCACCTGAAGCAATCAGTCATTAATTTTCCGTCCAACATTTCGGTGATCGATGAACTTCCTGCTACTGGCGTTCTACTCATCTTCTCGGTTGGACTGGATTTCTTCCTGCTACTGGCGTTCTACTCGTCTTCTCGGTTAGAGCGGATTTCTTCCTGCTACTGGCGTTCTACTCGTCTTCTCGGTTGGACCGGATTTCTTCCTGCTACCGGCGTTCTACTCGTCTTCTCGGTTGGACCAGATTGGTCGTCTTTGTTGAAAACTAAAGAGTTAGGTTTATCTATAGGGTTGTGTCTGTTTATGAATAGGTGTCAGTTATAGGTAGTTACGGGTAGTTACTTACAGTTATGTATTTGTGTATATATATGTACTGTGTTTCTGTATTAGAAACAGAGAGAATACCAATATAATTTCAGTTTTATATTCATTTCCTAGTCTTGATTCTTCATATTGCTTCCGCCTAACTGGCGGGTGGTATTATTCTCCACCCGCCAGGCCATTCCATCTTCCAAATTCAACATGGTATCAGAGTCACTTTCCTAGGGCATTTTCCTTACATTTTTCGGCATAAACAGTAGCCCTGAGACTGCCTCTTGAATTCCGACGTATCTATGGTGGTTTGCTTCAAAATCTACAACCACAGTCACTCTCGGAATCGCGCTGGCGACCTTCCCTCACACGCTGGTGCGTGAGCCCACCTCCGGCGTGATTTTCCGACGAAATTCTCCAGAAACCTCCGTCCGTACCCCGCAACCCCATCTGCGTAGATTTGGCTGTGGTGTATTTTTCCTTGTGATGTATTCTCCGGTGAAAATTCCAGATTGTTGTTTTGCCCTTGGACTTTTTGGTGAAAGTTTGAAGGCTTTTTGGGTTTGTTGCCAAACCTCTTTCCGGGGTGTTTTTGGTATAACCGTGTTTGTTTCTTTATATTCGGTATACCATACTTAGTCCCTAGGGTTTTCATGTTTGGCACGTTGTTTATTTCCGGAAGCTTCTTTTGTTATCCACTTATCGTATAAGAGGTATAAACAACAATCATGTGGTTTTCTTGGTATTCATACAACAATCTATGGGCTCTACTACATCCCCTTTGCTACTCATGATTTGGTTGCTCTGCCGTTCTTGATGGAGATTGTTGATTGGCAAATCCTAGAATGCTTATGTTGCTGTGAGGGTGTTCGTGTTAATCTTCGCCCTTGGTGACTTCATTCCCAAGGTTGTTTGTGACAAGCTTTGCCCTGGTGCCTTCATTCCCAAGGGTTGTTTATAGCACTGTTCCTCCGAAGCCATCCAACACTGTTATTCTCTAGCTGCTTTTAATCTTCATTTGTAATGTAGAGTGTATGTTTTAATCCAAGCTTGGAACTTCTAGATGTTCCAGCTTGAGGGGGAGTGTTGAAAACTAAAGAGTTAGGTTTATCTATAGGGTTGTGTCTGTTTATGAATAGGTGTCAGTTATAGGTAGTTACGGGTAGTTACTTACAGTTATGTATTTGTGTATATATATGTACTGTATTTCTGTATTAGAAACAGAGAGAATACCAATATAATTTTAGTTTTATATTCATTTCCTAGTCTTGATTCTTCATATTGCTTCCGCCTAACTGGCGGGTGGTATTATTCTCCATCCGCCAGGCCATTCCATCTTCCAAATTCAACAGTCTTCTCCATTGGAGAAGACGACCGTACTGGTCTTAACAGCCGCCTCACGTTCGGTGTCGGCGACGAGGGATATAGCCAGGAAGAAAACGACGGATTTCATTAAAGCATCATGCAAGGGAACACCGTATCCAGAGCTATGTTCCATGTCTCTATCAAAAGCATGAGAGGGAGATCGGAAAGGATTCGGAGCTTCTAGTCCACGTGGTGCTCAACGACCGGTAATGAGGAAGAATGACCGGCAATGGAGAAGAACGACTGGCGGTGGTCTTTCCAGTGAAGGTGGTAGCTTTCTGGGCGGTGAATAACCGGTAACCTATAGGTTACCGGTAAACATGGTTTATTTAATCTATTTTAACAAGTTTGAGTGTTTAATTGAACTTTTTTTAATGTTGGACGACTTAATTAAACTTTTGGGTAAAGTTTGAGGGCTTATTTTACGTATTTCCCTAAGTATAATGGTTAACAAATATCTTGTGGTTTGATATATCATTCTTACCTTTTCAAAATAGAAGGTCATTGGCGACAAGCCAACAAATAATTTTAAATTTTCAATTTAATATATATTACATTAAAACATGAGCATAAAATGAATGAACTGTTGGAAAAAATAGCTTAAAATGGCATAAAATGGCATGTTAAGTGGCTATTTTGTGGTACAATTATCAGTGGGGTCCACTTCCGATTTGGGTCGGGTCAAAGTGGATTCGGATTCTTCGTAGTGAGACGAAGAGATCGATATATTGTACGCTCAAAACGGATAATGGGTGAATGAGATATTGATTCTCAAAGTAGACCCATTTGAGTTGGAAAATGAAGGGAAAAAAGTGAGCTTTTTGTCCCACATTGCTTTGGAATGAAGATTTTCCCCCCTTATATACAAGAGCTCTTTTGAAGCTTGTAGAATTGTATAGCATAGAGGCTCTCTCGCGCGAGGGGGGGGGGGGGGGGTGCAAATCAAATTCCAACTAGCAGAGATTGGAAAAAAAAAAAGGCTTGATTCAAGCCCGAGCTCGTGTGCGCCGGCACCTGGGGGCACGAATGTCGTCCGGAAATTGGCTGGCCTTGCGGGCTAAGTTATGCTATCATTTTCCCAGTTATGCTATCATTTTCCCAGGTAGTGGCCTGCTGTTATAGTTGTTGGAAGGCAGCTTTAATGTCATTTTTAATTGCCATAGAGGCAGTAGAGTTTACACACAGCTTTACACAGCACGAAAATTTATTTTTCCAGCTTCAAGAATCTCTGCTTCTACTCTTTCTTTAGCTATACTGTGTTCATAGCCATTGTCTTGCTCGCCGGATCCTTTGTTTGAATGCTCAAACATTGGATCATAGCAAGTTTTATCCTGGGAAGCCTAGGCCACAACGCTCCTAGCATCTACGGGAGGTGGCAAATAAGGTTTTAAGGAAAGAGTGCACACTTGACTCTTGCAAAAACCCAACACCAAACACTAGCCAATTTTCTTCAAAATTTTCTTCCCTTCTTTCCAGAAAATAATAGTCAATTTTTATTTGATTATTATTTGTTTTCTACCAACGGTTCCTACATGAACAATGTAAGGACAAAAATGTCAAAATGCATAATATGAAGCATGAAGTACACCTTTTGTAATGTGAGTTATGTGACACTACCCATTTTTCAAGATTCAATGTACGGAGTAATTTTTTTTTTTTTTTTTTTAAATTTTATCAAGACGAGGGGACACCCAAGAACACTAGCTAGAAACATTTTCCCTAATTCTGTTGCGGGGAGTTCTTCTTGAGAATTTGGCTCCAATCTGGTCTTGAGAATTCAATGTACGGAGTATTTAATAGCTAGCTAGGGTACCCCTTCCGTTTTTCTTAAAAAAGAAAAGTAGTTATTTATATATTTTGTTATATTATTATATATACAATAAGAATAAAATTGAAATTAGAGTTGGTGACAAAGCTTGATATATGGCGACTTGGACTAAGCATTAATTCCAAACCAAATAAGTTTTGGAGCGCATAGCAGGCGGGTCAATAATGCATGCCAGAGATGGGATTATGGGATATATTATTGTTATATTGGGAATGAGAATATGAGATAAGATTATAATGTGTGACCACAATATGTTAAAAATAGGAGTTAATTCCATCGGAGGTCCCTTGTTTTTGGTGGTGTGAAAGTGTGAAGGGTTTCATCTATTTCACAAAAATAGAACTGTACAGATTACTATAATTTATATAGGAAAAACTAGCTATAACCTAAAGGACCCACTGTAACGGGCCTAGGGTTTCAACACTCCCCCTCAAGCTGGAGAGTATAGATCATAAGCTCCAAGCTTGTTACAAATATATTCAACTCTAGGAGCTCTAAGGGATTTTGTCAAGATATCAGCTAACCGATCTGCAGAATTGACAAAGCTAGTTTTAATGCACCCTGACACAATCTTCTCTCTGATGAAGTGACAGTTAACCTCAATGTGTTTAGTCCTTTCATGATAAACAGGATTTGACGCGATGTGTAGAGCTGCTTAGTTGTCACATATCAACGTCATTTGGGCAACATTGCCACATTGCAATTCTTGTAGTAGGTGTTTAAGCCACATGAGCTCACACGTGGCAAGCGCCATGGCTCGATATTCCGCTTCAGCACTGGACCTAGCAACCACATACTGCTTCTTACTTTTCCAAGATATGAGATTACCTCCAATGAGAATACAATAACCTGAAGTAGAGCGTCTGTCAAATGGACAACCAGCCCAATCTGCATCACAATACCCAACAGCTTGTGAATGTCCTCTATCTTCATATAATAAGCCTTGTCCTGGTGCTCTCTTGATATACCTTAGAACACGAACAACATCATCCCAATGAGAATCACAAGGTGTCTCAAGAAACTGACTCAACACACTAACTGCGAAAGAGATATCCGGTCGTGTGATCGTGAGATAATTCAGTTTTCCAATTAATCTCCTATATCGTTCTCGGTCAGGCAATGGCTCCCCCTGTCCTGGTAGGAGTTTAACATTCGGATCCATTGGATTATCAACCGGTTTACTATCCAACATGCCAGTTTCTTCTAAAATATCCAAGGCATACTTTCTTTGAGAAATAACAACACCACTGCTAGATTGAGCCACTTCAATTCCAAGAAAGTATTTCAGCTTGCCCAAATCCTTACTCTGGAACCGACTAAAGAGATACTCCTTCAACTGAAATATGCCCTCTTGATCACTCCTTGTAATAACAATGTCATCCACATATACTACAAGGTATATGCATTTCTCATTAGAATGACGATAGAAAACAGAATGATCAACCGCACTTCTAGTCATACCAAACTCACACACCACAGAACTAAACCTTCCAAACCAAGCTCGTGGAGATTGCTTTAAACCGTATAAAGAACGGCGAAGTTTACATACCAGACTAGACTCACCCTGAGCAACAAACCCAGGTGGTTGCTCCATATAAACCTCCTCGTGAAGATCACCATGAAGAAAGGCATTCTTGATATCCAGCTGGTGTAAGTCCCAATGATGAATGGCTGCCAAAGACAAAAGTAATCGAACTGAAGCAATTTTAGCAACCGGGAAAAAAGTATCAGTATAATCCAAACCAAAAATCTGAGTATAGCCTTTCGCCACCAGTCGAGCCTTAAAACGATCACTAGGCGGGATTTAATTGTAATTGGCACATTGAAATGTCTTGAGGTGCTCAAGCTGGAAAATGCTTTCCATGAAGAAGTGTAGAGAGTAGCTGAAGGAGGATTTTTTAGATTAAAGTTCTTGCTCCTTAAAGATAAAAAAACTCAAGAGGTTGGAGGCTTACAAATATTCTTTCCCATATCTTGAGCGTCTAGTTCTAAGATGTCTTCATTATTTGGAAGAGATTCCTAGCAGTTTTGGAGAAATTTTCTACTTGAAGTCAATTGAGTTGGATAGGTGCAGCTGCCCTTCCATTGTCGCTTCTGCCAAGGATATTCAAGAGAAGCTAAAGAAAAATTTTGGAAAATCAAATTTTAAGGTTAGAAGCTCTGCCTTGTGTATTCTTTTATATTAGATGCAAAATATGTTACTATTTAATTAATTTTGTAATCTCATTTGTTTTCTCTATTTTGCATTACTTTTTCATAGATCAAAATCCAGGAGCCTGAATATGATGAATCAGGGAACATAGTAGAGTGTGATGAAGATGTTGGGGTTGGAAAATTTGAAAAAGCTAATTTTGAGGTTAGAAGCTATGACTCAGATAATTCATTGCTAATCTTTTCTGTTTTATTAATTATTAGATGTTGAACTTCTTTGCAAAAGCTGTTTCTACTTAATTTCATTTGAAACCTCAATTTTTTCATAGATCAAAATCCAGGAGCCTTAATATAATGATGTTGTTAAATTCAAGTCGTACATATCCACAAATTAAAGAATAAGAGATGGAGAAATCTGTTGAGGCACAAGCACATAAGTGGCTTGGCAGGCCAAGCAGATTTGAGAAGAGAAACATGAGATGAGGTTAGAAGCTACAGCCTGATTCATTCTTAATTTTTTTATTTTTTTTTTCTATTCCGACTTTTTTTTCAAAATCTTTTACTCTATTTTTCTAATCTCATTTCATTTTGTCCATTTTTGCATGATGTTTTCAGAGAAAGAGTGTCTGTAAAAGACAACTTGGTCAGGCTCATAGTGAATTAACTGCAATGAGAAAACTGGTATGTACAGTGATACTTATCTGCAAATTAATTGGGTTTCGTGGTTAGTGAAGGATCCTGCACTGGTTTCCCTGTTCAACCATTGTCATAATGTTGTGAAAAACGTTTTTGTTTTTTTGTTTGACCAATTGCACCTTCAATTTGGATAAGATGCTTAATGACAAGGCATGGTTGTTTTCACAACTTCATTAACTGATCTGATCTTCAGTTCAAAAATTAGATTTTTTTGAATTCAGTTACAAGTTGTATGTATTGTTAATCTTAGTTGCCTTTTCCAATCTGTTGAGCAGGGCAGGGCAATGTGTGTTTCAGTACAGTTGGTGAATTCAGGAAATTAAAATTTTCCCAATTACATTCACGATATTCTTCTATATGTCCACTTTCAAGTATGCAATCTCTTTTCAGACAAATATATATATATATATATATATGAAAGTAGAAGAAGAAAATGTAAGGTCTAGCCCAGCCCTTTATTGGTTTACTAATTTTAAATATTATACTTCAATTTGGTCGGAATGACTAAAATTGATAAAAATTGCATAGTCAAGGTACTAAATTAATACTTTTGAAAGTCGTGGACTGTAATTAACAGGACCCCTATAGTTAGCGGACCAAAATTGAAATTTACTCTTTTAAATATTATACTTCAATTCCCTGTTGATTATTGGTTGTTTTTTCCTTTGTTTCTTTTTATGTTTTTACACCAGGACTGGACTGGACTGATTATACTTGTGACTTTTCAGATGTGTAACCTTCTCATTGTTGCTTCTGCCACGTTGTTCCAAGAAGAGCTGCTGCAGAATCATGGATATATATATAATAAGAATGTATATCCTCCGTTCTTATTTGCTTGTCACATTTGTTTTTTTACACAATTTTTAATATAATAAAACCAATGTTAAGAGCAACCACATTAGTGATTTTTATTCAAATTTAGAGAAAGAAAAAACATATGATTTTTGGACTAAAGTGAGGGGTGATTTTTTTGAAGTTTTTATTCCTGCAATGCAAGTATTTTTGTGGGCTCCTAGTTGACAATTAAGATTTTTAAAGTAATCTGGCAGGTGCACGTTTTGCACACCTGCTGCGACTAATTGGCACGTAAATAGCGTTGGCTTTTAATTTTTTTCCCATCTGATTGTCAATTTTTTTTTCTTTGCTTTCCTCTCTCCTTCTCCCTCTCGCTCTCTTTCTTACATGGTATGATAAAAACTAAATAAAATCCACAATTCGGAAAAATAAGAAATTGAATTTGTAGGAAAAATGATTTTTTTGTTAGACTCGGGATGAGAGAGAAAAGGGAAAAAGATTCCCTTTTTCTGCGCCTTAGAGCATCCTTATCAGTTGAGGTTATTTTTCAGTTATTTGTGGGTCCCAGCATCCACCTCATCCTCTATCATCTTATTCAATTACAAAAAACTCTTCTCCACGTCAATTTTGAGTTATTTCTCAGTTTTTTATGCACCCACCATTTAACTCACTATATTTTAATTATTTCTCTTACTTATTGGGACCACAAATATACCATACTTTGCATAAGAAATATTTTTGAAATAACTCCTCCTCACATCAGCTATTAACTTTAAGTGGAGAGAATTCATGTAGAAATAACTCTTAAATAACTACTAGTGTGGATGCTCTTATGCGCGCCCAGAGGGCATGTGTACTGCATGTGCCTCTGGTGCGTAAATCAACATTTTTTAATTTCTCTTTTGCCTGACATTTCACTGCTTTTGTTTTTTGTTTTTTATTTTTTGTTTTTTTTTGTTTTTTGTTTTTCTTCTCTTTCTTTCCTCTTTCTCTTAGTTGGCGCCTCAGAACCATTAAAAGAAAAAAGTCAATACTATTAAAGATGTTCTTATCTCATTAATTGTCTAGAAATTTGAAAAAGTAAAAAAGATAAATTAGAAAATGTAGAATTATAATTATGTTCAATTTTGAAATGATGACACTATTTTAAGACACACTAAAAAAAGAAATAAGATAGGTAAAATGAGACTAAATATTAGTATAAATGACGCAGAGTGATATGCAAATAGTAATAGCTAGATTCCTTTTGATAAGAATTGACATGTAAACAACTAAAACATAGACATAGAAAGAGAGAGAGAGAATAGAGAATAATTTAATGTTGCGCTCCATATTAATGGAAATATTTAAATGAATAAACAAATAAAATTTAGAGTTGTTAGATTGTCTTACTTCTTGCCAACAACGCATCTTTCCTAGTTGAAAATAGAAAATTTAATATTTTTGTATTGACTACAATGGTTTATGGCAAATTATTGTGTGGATCATGGTCCACTAGCTGTGTGAATCACGAATATAAAGTACATTTTTAATATACTAAAAGTACATTATTTGTATATTAAATATACATTATTTGATATTATATATAAAATAATGTACTTTCACTATTAAAATAATATACTTTTTAGCATATTAAAAATGTACATTTTATTTATGGTCCACACAGTTGTGTTGACCATGATTCATGTAATAATGAATTAATGATCGTTGGTTCATCATATGAATATGATATCACAGGTTGAGACATAATTTTATTAAAAGGGTTTATTCCACCAGAGGTCCTTGTCTTTGGTGATAATTCCAAATTTAGTAACATACTATGGTTTTTACAATTTAAAAAAAATTGTTAAATTTTGGCAGATTTTTTTTAAACATTTACAAAAAACAATTTTGTTAAATTTTGGCGGTTACAATTCTTTTTTTTTTTTTTTTTTTAAATTTGGTGAAACATTGTTAAATTTAATTTTGTTATGAATTTTATAATTAAATAAATTTATTTTAATTTTGATATGTTAAATTTAAATATAATAAAAATAATAATTGTAATTATAGTTATTTATAATGATAATAAATAAAGAAATAATTAAAATATAATGAAGTAAAACGGTGAGAGGTCATAAAAAAAATTTAAAATTAATTGAGAGAATTTTTTTTTTTTGAAATTGATTGAGATAGTGAATATAGAGGTGGATGTTTGGACCTAAAAAAAATTAAAATAAAAACTTCACCATTGACTATTGAAGATGCCCTAGGCTAATATCCGCAAAATTGAGGGAAAAGGAATGTTATATCACAATCCTCTTAGCTAGGCTAGTAGCATATCATTCACATTTCTCATACAAACGAACAGAAAAATATTGAGTGAGGGAGAAGATGGCTTGTGTTGCTTTATCTTCTCTCAAGTCAACAATTCAGCTTGAGTTTCTACAACCCTTCCCAAGGGTCCCTCTTCTTCATCATCAAGAACCAATAATCCATTCTTTCTTGCGAATGATTTCTTCTTTGCAAGCCTTTCTAAAGGAATCCAGGGGTGCTGCTGCAATCAAGGATTTGGAAATCGAAATCAGAGACTTTGCACTCAAAGCCGAAGACAACATCGAAATACAACTACGCAACTTTGTGTTGGCCAAAGACAAAGAGGATCAGGAAAAAGCTTCCCAGCAACTCCATCAAGCCTTGCAAGAAGCAGCAGAAAACGCATCAGAGTTGTTGAGTATTATCGACAAGGTAAGCAATGAAGCGGATGATGATGAGGAGAATGAAATTCAACAACCATCAATTCATCATTGGCTAAAGCATGCTTATTCGGAGTTTGGGAATGATAAATTTGATGTATCCTCACAGTGCTTTCCTGAGCTTGTGGGCGGAAAAATGGTGGGTCGTCACCGTGATCGTGAAGAGATAATCAACAATCTCATCCCAAAGTCTTTTAGTAATTTTTTCATCTCCAGCAGCTACTTCTCACCCTCTTTTAATAATAAGATAAATTTGGTCTTCATTGTTGGGATGATGGGCATTGGAAAGACCACTTTAGCTAAAAGTGTGTATGGAGATTCACTAGTTGAAGATTATTTTGATGTACGTGGGTGGATTACAATGCCTCAAGAATACAACAAGACCCAAATAATACGCCTCCTTCTTCGTTCAATTTTACCCGCAGTGGAAAACAAATTTGGAAAAGGAAGTGCTATTCAAGCTGATAAACTTGCAGAGCAGGTAAGGACACAATTGCGTGCCAAAAAGTTTCTAATTGTATTGGATAACATACACGACAGTCGAGCTTTGCATGATATCCAAATGTGTGTTTATTGCTGTGATCCTGGGAGTACCATACTGCTAACCACTGGGAACTTCAATCTCAGATTCGACCCTATCTTCTATCACCATCAGTATACCCATTACATGACTTTGTTAGATCAAAACCAAAGTTGGGATCTATTTTGCAATAATATGGTTTTTCTTAAAGGCCGTGTGGCGCTTGAATTTGAGAAAATCAAGAGTCATATTGTAGAGATATGTGATGGACTACCATGGTCTATTGTTGCAGTTGCAGAGCGTCTGGCTAAATGTCATGACATATTAAAGGAGTGGGAGAAGGTCAAAAAGGAAATGGAGTCACTGGGAATTCTAGATCACAAAGCTCTCACTTTCCATTACAATCAATTGTCGGAACATTTGAAAGTTTGCTTTTTATATTTTGGAGTCTTTCCAAAACGTAAAGAAATCCAAGTTAAAAAGCTTATTGGTTTGTGGATTGCTGAGGGATTTTTGGAGCCATTGGAGCATGAAGAGTTAGAAAATCAAGGTTATGTGTATTTACAAGAACTTATTGATAGAAGTCTCCTCTTAATATGCAACCAAGGTCGTGATGGCAAAATTAAGACTTGTAGGATGCATAGTGCCTTACATAGCTTTTGTGTTGGAGAAGCTCAAAAAGCAGGTATTTTTTGTGCAATAAATACACTGCAACATACTGCATTGCCATTAAGCGAGTTTGCAAATTCAAGTCGTTGGTTAAGTTTATACACACATAGTTTCGACTATTATGTGTTGTTTAGTACAAACAAACCTCGCTCCATTTTTTTCTTTGATGATGATCCTAAAACTTTTGTACCTTTCAAGCTGTTAAGAGTTTTGGCCTTTGTTCCATCTCCATTCCTCCAAAGAGTGTCAATGCATTCGAGGCATTTAATTTTTTTGAGATACTTATTTATAAGTCAGAGGTTTGAGGGGCTAGGTAATATAGTGGCAAATAACCCGAATTTGCACACACTTATTGTTTCCAGTGATGAACCACAAATTGGAGCTCCTACAATTCATTTGCCATCCACAATTTGGCAGTTACCACACTTGAAGCATCTTGAACTTGGCGATTTGTATACAATAGACGATCTTGCAAGCGTGGTTACAATGACAAATTTGCAAACATTATCTTTGGTGAGCCCAACTCAGTGTGGAAGGGAAGTGCATTTCAATTTTCCAAACATAAGAAAAGTGAAACTTTTTTATAAAGAAGACTTGGTGCCCAGTCACATTGGCAGTTCTTCTGGCAATCCCATCACTTTGTATAATTTGGACTATTTGGAATGGCTTGAAAGGCTAACAATTTCAATTTCGATTGGCTGCATTGTAACCCTTCCCGAAAGGTGTATGTTTCCTTCACAATTGAAGAAGTTAAACTTGAGTGGGGCTAAACTTTCTCAAAGAGATTTAACGGCAATTGGAATGTTGCCGGAGCTTAGGGTGCTCAAGCTTGAAAATGCCTTATTGGGAAGAGTGTGGGAAGTAGCTGAAGGAGAATTTCGTAAATTAAGATTCTTGCTAATTGAGGATAAAAAACTCAAGCAATTGCAAAGTAATGAAGCATACACTTTATTATGTCTTGAGCGTCTAGTCCTAAGATGTTATTGTTTGGAACAAATCCCATTAAGCTTTGTTGGTCCCAAGTTGAAGCATATTGAGCTGGATGGGTGTAACCCTTCCATTGTTGCTTCTGCCAAGCAGCTCATTATTATCAAACATTTGTATGGTCGAGTTGAGGTTAGAAGCTAAAACGCCATTCATTCTTGATAATTAATTATTTAGATTCTATTCTTTAAAAAATCTATTACTATTAATTTCTTTATATGATCTCAGTTTATTTTCTCCATTTTGCTTTTTTCCTTTCTTAGCTCATAATCGACGGGGCTGTATTTACGGACTACTATCATCATTCAGACGAAAATTTTCACAGGTTAATAAATGAATTCATGCAATGGGACAGAAGTTTCAGGTTGGAATTTGCATTATTTTGATGATGGGATTGAGTTTTTCCATTGGAATATGTGTTTTATACGTTTGTATTGTATGTATTGAGTTTCTAACAATAATTGCAAATTGTCTAATGATCTATAACAAAGTCAAAATCTTACCTTTGATTTCTGGGAAATCTTGCAGCCGATATGGATGGTATGATCGCAATGGACTATACACTGTCAATTCGTGGAAGCTCGCTTCGTGACCCTAGTCGACAAAGGACCACAAGGTGGTAAAGCAGCCTAAAAGTCAAAATCTTATCTATTACTATAACTCTTTCTGATCTCAATTCGTTTTCTCCATTTGGCATGATTTTTCATAGATAAAAATACAGGGGCCTGAATCTGATGGATCACATTATGTTCATATAGAAGAGTCTGTAGAAGATGGTTTGGCCGGAATCACAGTGAGTTAACTGCAATTAGGAAAATGGTATGTATACAAATTGGCTTTAGGATTTAAATGTTACATAGGGATCTTGCACTGTTTTCCATGTACGATGATGTACAACCAAATTCATAATGTTGGAATAAGTTCAATATAACGTGATTCGTTAACATTATGGGATGGATACTATCTAACTTTTAATTTACTTTGTGGTGGTAATGTGGTATGGAACCTCTTTTTGTTTGATTTGAAACAGATAAGGTGAGTGAAGATCAATAGATTAGATTGAGCAACTACTGCACCTTAGCTTCAAGTTTGGTCAGATGCTTAATGACAATTGAGGCATATATATTGGTAGATCAGAATTGGTTTCTCATGACTTCATTAACTAATCTTCAATTCAAACATTATCTTTCTTGTCAACTTGGCACACAAAATGCATTATCAATAACTTGGATTCATGTTTGTAGGGGTGTACGTCTTGTTGGATATTTATATAGTAAATTGTCGATTTATATGTTCAGACATGTCTACAGGAAGTATAAATAATATTTTTGTGTTGTAAAGTTTATTTTATGCTTGGTAGGAATTTTATTACTTGTTGATCAAGAATATTGGTTATCTAATTGTTTGTTGAAATGGAATTCATCTCTTTTTTTTTTTTTTTTTTTTTTTTGGTTCATACCTCATAAATCTGAATGCAAGAACAACATGAATTGAAAGAGATTGAAAAAGAAATAGAGCTGCGGGAATTCTAGATTATAGTGCACTCACTCTCATTTATAATCAGTTACCAGAATATTTGGAAGTTTGCTTTTTATATCGTGGAATCTTTCCAGAACGTGCTGAAATAAATGTTAAAACGCTTCTTAGGTTCTGGATTGCTGAAGGATTTGTGAAGCCATCAAAGAGTAAGGAATTAGAAAAGATTGCTTATTGTTACTTAAAGGACCTCATTGATAGAAGCCTTGTGTTAATAAGCAAGTGAACTTTGGATGGCAAAATCAAGACTTGCAGGGTGCATAGTGTCATGCATAACATATGTTTCAGAGAGGCTCAGAAAGAGGGAATTTTATGTGCAGTAAATACTCAGCAACTTCCAAGGTGGTCATTAAATGCATTTGCAAATTCTTGTTGTTGGTTTAGTTTATGCAAACATAGTTTTGACTATTATGTGTTGTTTAGTTTAAACAACCCTCCCTCCATTTTCTTCTTTCAAGAAAATTCTGAAATTTTTGTGCCCCTCAAACTATTAAGAGTTTTGGCATTTGTTCCTTCTCCATTCCTTCAAAGAGTGCCAATGCATTTAGGGGATTTAGTTTTTCTGAGATATTTATCTGTGACACAATGGTTTGAAGGTCTCAACGATGTAGTGTCAACTAATCTGAATTTGCAGACACTTGTTGTTTCTGGAAGTGACAGTGAATCACAACCTATTCTCCATTTGCCATCTACAATTTGGGAGGCACCACAATTAAAGCATCTTGAACTTGGTGCATTGTACACGGTTGATCCTCCCAGCGAGGTTAAAAGGAATTTGCAAACATTATCTTGGGTAGGTCCTACTCATTGCAGAAAGGAAGTGTATTCCAGTTTTCCAAACATTAAAAAACTGAAAATATTGTGTAAAGAAGACTTAGAGCCCAGTCACATTGGTGGATCTTCCAGCAAATACACCATTTTTGATAACTTGGACTGTTTAGCGCAACTTAAGAGTCTAATGATTTCAGTTTCTTCTGTTGGGTGCATTGTAACATTTCCTGAACGGTGTATGTTTCCGTCACAACTGAAGAAATTGAGTTTGAGTGGGACTAATCTTTCTGGAAGGGATTTAACTGTAATTGGCTCATTGAAACGTCTTGAGGTGCTCAAGCTGGAAAATGCTTTCCATAAAGAAGTATGGAGAGTAGCTGAAGGAGGATTTTATGGATTAAAGTTGTTGCTCCTTAAAGCTAAAAAACTCAAGAGGTTGGAGGCTTATACAGATTCCTTCCCATGTCTTGAGCGTCTAGTTCTAAGATGTTGTCATTATTTGGATGAGATTCCTAGCAGTTTTGGAGAAATTTTCTGCTTGAAGTCAATCGAGTTGGATAGGTGTAGCCGCCCTTCCATTTCCGCTTCTGCCAAGGATATTCAAGAGAAGCTAAAGAAAAATTTTGGAAAAGCAAATTTGAGGTTAGAAGCTCTGACTTGTTCATTTTTTTTTTATTAGATGCAAAATCTGTTACTATTTAATTATTTTTTGATAATCTAATTCGTTTTCTCTATTTTGGATTACTAGCTTGAATATGATGAATCAGGGAACATTTTAGAGTGTGATGAAGATGTTGGGGTTGGACAATTTGAACAAGAAAATTTTGAGGTGACTTGGATCATTTGTTCTAAATTTTTCCTGTTTTATTAGATGCTGAACTTCTTTGCAAAAGCTGTTACTATTTAATTTGTTTTTGTAACCTCATTTGTTTTTATAGATCAAAACCTAGGAGCCTGAATATAATGGTGTTGGCAAATTGAAGTCGTACATGTTGGTTATCACAATTGCACCTTCAGTACTTTTGGTGAATTCAGGAAGTTAAAATTTTCCCAACTACATTCACAACATTCTTCCAGATGTCCACTTTCAAGTATGCAATCTCTTTTCAGACAAGTATATGAAAGTAGAAGAAGAAAATGTCAAGTCAGCCCAGCCCTTTTTTTTGTTTTTTTTTTTTTTTTTGTTTTTTTTTTTTTTTATAGAAAATACAGCCCAGCCCTTTATTGGTTTACTAATTTTAAATATTATACTTCAATTCCCTGTTGATTATTGGTTGTTGTTTTCCTTCGTTCATGTTTTTACACCAGGACTGGACTGATTGTTTTTACAACTTTTCAGATGTGTAACCTTCTCTGGAATTTGCATGATTTATCATAAATCAAAATCTGATGATGAATCACATACAGTATACTGATATAGAAGATGACTTGGCAGGAATCATAGTGAGTTAACTGCAATTACAAAAATGGTATGTACACAGATACATATCTGCAAAGTCAATTGGCTCTACACTTTAAATGTTACTACTGAAGGATCCTGCACTGTTTTCCCTGTACGATGGTATGATAACGTACAACCAAATTAAATTATAATGTTGGAATAACTTGTTTGACATACATGATTCACTAACATTGTGGTATGAAATCTCTTTTTTTGTTTGATTTGAAACAGATATGCTGAGATTGGTATGCTAATTGTATACCTTTAAAAAAAAATAAAATAAAAATTCCAGACTGGGAAGCTGCTATTGCTCAAAGTATTGGAGATCTGGAGGTAAGAGGAATAGGGTGGAGAAATGGAATCAATATAGTTGACTAAAGTAGACGAATTTGATCAGATTAAATCCATATAATGTGGAGTCGTCAATTACAGATGCTAAATGGCAAGAATTGGTTTCTCGCGACTTCATTAACTAATCTTCAACCCAAACATAGATTTCATGTTGTTTGGTGCTGTTCTTTCAATTCCTTATTCAATTCCAATATACTATCACTGAACATAATTGCCAGCCTTACTTGTTTCAGAGATATCCTTTGACACCCAAACACATTCTTGGGAGAGCTAGTGGAAGATGGTGAACTTACATTAGTCCACTGAAAGTCATAAGATCAAGCAGCAGATCTCTTCACAAAGCCATATATATACGTTGATTGCTGCATCTTTGTATTATGTCCAACAACAGAACAGATAATGGGCTCCTGAAAATGAGAAACCATTTGGCTGTCAAACAAGAAGAAATATCTGTTATCTTGCCATTATATTTAAGCATCTCATCATCATCATCAAAATTGAATATATATGTAATTGACTCCATGCATGCATGCATATTATATATATGGAATTAATCTGATGAACTTCAATTCGTGTAGTTTGGCCAACGATATATATGTTCCCTTTACCTCCACATCTCCAATACTTTGAGCAATAGCAGCTTCCAAGTTTGAATTTTTTTTTTATTTTTTTAATTTTTTTTTGGAAAGGTATACAACTAGCAATTTAGCATGTTGTGAATGTAGGGAAAATTATATAATTTCGTGAACTCACCAACTGGACTGAAACACCAGAATGGTATGATGCTGATACCAGATATGCTCAACTTAATGTTGCCCTGCTCAACAGATTGGAAAAGGCAAGTAAGATTAACAATACAACTTGTAACTGAATTCAAGAAAAAACATAAAACAAGAAATCTAATTTTTGAACTGGCCTGGAGATCAGATGAGTTAATGAAGTGAGAAGCAACATATATGCCTTGTAATTAAGCATCTTGACCCAAATTGGAGGTGCAATTGGTCAAACAAAAATGACGTTTTCCCAACATTATTATGACACTAGTTGTACAAGGATACCAGTGCATGATCCTTCACTAACATGTAAAGGGGCTAAATCCAATTATATTATTAGCAGATATAAATATGTAGATACCAGTTTTCTAATTGCTCCACCCACTAAGTTGTCTTTTACAGACTCTTCCTATGAAAAAATCGACAAAATGAAATGAGATTGGAAAATTATTAGTAACAGATTTTGGAAAGAAGTTGGTATCGAATAGAAAATAAATTAAAATTGAAGAATGAATGAGATCAGGCTGTAGCTTCTAGCCTTATCTCATGTTGCTCTTCTCAAATCTGAATCTGGTTGGAAGAGCCAGTTTTGGGGTTGCGCCTCTTTAACAGATTTCTGAATCTCGTTTTCTTTAATTTGTGGATATAAGACTTCAATTTCCCAACTCCAATTTCTTCCTCTACCATCTGCCCCCCTGCCCCTGCCCCTGCTAATGATTCACCCTCCTCCTCCATTTTTATCTATCAAAACAAATGAGGTTAAAATAATAACAGATTTTGCACACAAGTTCAATGCATATAAGAAACAAGGAAAAAGAAAATTAAGAATGAGCCATAGATTCTAACCTCACAATTTTCCTTTTCAACATCTTCTACACACTCTTCTATATATTCAGGCACCTGCCCCTGCCCTTGGATTTTAATCTATGCATCATCAAGTAATGCAAAATACACAAAACAATAAATTATTAAATAGTAACACATTTTGCAAAGAAGTTCCTTCAGAATCTAATAAAAAAGAATGAGTAAGGCAGAGCTTCCTTCTAACCTCAAAATTTTCTTTTCCAAAATTCTTCTTTAGCTTCTCTTGAATAATCCTAGCAGACGCAACAATGGAAGGGCGGTGGCTAAACCTATCCATTTCAATTGACTTGAAGCAGAAAATTTCTCCAAAACTGCTAGGGATCTCTTCCAAACACTCACAACATCTTAGGACTAGATGCTCAAGACATGGGAAAGAATCAGTGTAAGCCTCCAACCTTTTGAGCTTTTTATCTTTGAGGACCAACAATCTTAATCTATAGAATCCTCCTTCAGCTACTTCCCATACTTCTTTATGGAACGCATTTTCCAGCTTTAGTACCTCAAGCCATTGCAACCTCCCAATTACTGTTAAATCCCACCCAGAAAGATTAGTACCACTTAACTTCAACTTCTTCAGTTGTGAAGGAAAAATAAACCTTTCAGGAAAGGTTAAAATGCACCCAACCGAAACTGAAACTGTTAGACTCTTAAGCTGTTCTAAATAGCCCAACTTATCCAAAATGAAGCAATTGCTAGAACATCCACTAATCTGGCTGGCCTCTAAGTCTACTTTATAGACAACTTTCAGTATTTTTATATTTGGAAAATTGGAATACACTCTGCTTCTGCAATGAGTTGGATCCACCCAAGATAATGTTTGCAAATTCTCTTTTACCATGCTTGGAGGATTGACAACATAGCAAGTGCCAAGTTCAAGATGCCTTAACTGTGGTGACTCCCAAATTGTTGATGGCAAATGGAGAATTGGTGCTCCAACTTGTGATTCACTGTCATTACAAGAAACAATAAGTGTCTGCAAATTCACATTACTTGACACAACATCACTCAGACCCTCAAACCATTGTGTTACCGATAAATATCTTAAAAATATCAAATCCCCTAATTGCATTAGCAGTCTTTGGAGGAATGAAGATTGAACAAATGCCAAAACTCTTAACAGCTTCAAGGATACAAAAATTTCAGTGTTTTCTTGAAAGAAGAAAATGGAGCGAGGGTTGTTTGAACTAAACAACACATAATAGTCAAACCTATGTTTGCATAAACTTAACCAACGGCATGAATTTGCAAATGCATTTAATGACCACATTGGGAGTTGCTGAGTATTTACTGCACATAAAATTCCCTCCTTTTGAGCCTCTCTGAAACAGATGTTATGCATGACACTGTGCACCCTACAAGTCTTAATTTTGCCATCAAAAGTCTGTTTGTTTATTAACACAAGACTTCTATCAATGAGGTCCTTTAAGTAACAATAAGCAATCCTTTCTAACTCCTTATTCTTCGATGGCTTCACAAATCCTTCAGCAATCCATAACCTAAGAAGTATTTTAACTTGGATCTCGCTACGCTTTGGAAAGACTCCAAGATATAGAAAACAACCTTTCAAATATTCTGGCAACTGATTGTACATGAGAATGAGTGCACTATAATCTAGAATTCCCAACAATTCTATTTCCTTTTCAATCTTTTTCAATTCATGTTGTATGTTGTCTTTGCATTCAGATAAGCGCTTGGCAACTACAACAATCGACAGTGGCAGTCCTTCACATATTTCCACAACATGGAACAAGTGACTCCTGAATTTTCCAAAACTTGGTGCCCTATATCTTTGAAGAGGAAAGATAGTACAGAATAGATCCCAACTTTCATTTGGATCTAGTAAACTCATAACATGATATGTACCTTTGATTGTGCAAGCATAGTCAGCCACTCCATAGAATCTTGTGGTCAGCAATATGCAACTTCCGTTCTCACAATTGGGTAATAATGCTTCTAATGAATTCCAATCCCCAGTGCTCCATATGTCATCCAAGACAATTAGATACCGCTTTTCCTCCAAGCATTCACGAACCTGCTCCCAAAGAGGGGCTTCCTTTATAATTTCATGACTTGGTGAAATTGACTGGAGAAGGTCGCGTAGCACTTTGGTGTGATTGTAATTTTGAGTCACTGTAACCCATCCTCGTACCTGGAAATTGAATGCAACTGATTGATCTTCCAAGATTTTTCTTGCTAAAGTAGTCTTCCCTATGCCTGGCATCCCAGTAATTGGGATTACTTTTACACCTTTAAAGCTACTGAAGAGTCGACTCTTTATGATACTAACGTCATTTTGATGACCCACCATTATTCTGCCCTCCTCAAGCTTTGGATAGCACACAGACTGAGTATCATTGGCCTCATCATCATCATCAGCTTCATTGCTACTTGTGTTGTGGATAGTGCTCAACAGTTGTGCTGCATTTTCTGTTACTTGATGCAAGGTTTGAAAGAGTTGTTCTAAAGCTTCTTTTGGAAAGCTTTGCCCTTCTTTGGCCACACAAAACTTTCTAAATTGTTTTCCGATGTCTTCTTTAGCTTTGAGTACAAAGTGTCTGATTTGGATTTCAGCTCCGGATCCACCAAACTTGGATTTCAGTACAATTCCTTGCAAAGCGAAGAGATTTTTATGGAGAGATTCTAGTGGTGGTGTTTGAACGTCGTTGTCAGGCACCCATGAGTTGGGTGTGGTCAAAGATGACGACCTAAGATAATCATCATCCATTAATCTTCTCAAGAGATTAGCTAAATCATCACAACATTCACAAGTCTCCTGTCTCTCCTTTTCTTTGTTGATGATCTCCACCAGCTCTACCCTATTTTCTTCTGCTTGTTGCAAGGTTTGACACAGTTCCTGGAAAGCTTCTTCTTCATGTACTGTGTCTTTGACCAGAAGAAAACTGCTGAGTTGTATCTTGATGCCATCTACAGCTAAATATCTTATTTTGGTTTCCAAATCTTTGGATGTATAAAGAAATCCTCGTGAAGTAGAAAGACTTTCAATAAGAGATTTGAATAGGGTTTGAATTCGATCATAAACCACTCTCATTGCGTTGGATTGTATAGACTTGATATGATGATCTATTATTGTGTTGAGATAAGTTAAATCATCATTCAGTATATACTCTTTTGTGCTGTTGATAATCTCCACAACATCAGCAATCTTTTGTTGTGCTTGTTGCAAGATTTGACAGAGTTGCTGGGAAGCTGCTTCTTGATGCCCTGCGTCGTCTTTGGCTTTGGCCACAACAAAGTTGCTTAGCTGTATTTCGATGTCATCTTCAACTTTGAGTGCAAAGTCTCTTATTAGGGTTCCAAAATATTTGATTGCAGCATCACCGGCACTGGATTTCTTTTCCAGAAAGGCCTGCAAAGAAGAAAGGTTTTCATAGAAAGATTTGATGGGTGCTTGATCATCATGAAGATGAAGAGAAACTCTTGGGATTTGTTGCCGAAACTGAAGCTCAATTGTTGTCATTAGAGAAGTTAAAGCAACATAAGCCATCTCGATCTCACTAATTTTTCTGTGATTTCTTCAATGTGAAAATGCAATTGCAAGTTTGAGCTAGGTAGGTACAAAACTGAGTTATGACAACTGATGAGAAGCAGTTTGAAGATGGATTGTGATAATAGCAAAAGACTGAAAGAAAAAGGCATTCAACAAAACCGGCTGGCTGCCAGGAATTGAATGTGAACACCAACCACACCAAATTATTCTGTGGACTCGAGGACGTGCATTCAAAATACATAATTTATCTATTGAATGTTCGCAATTTACATACTGAATGTTTAATTTACAATTTTGTAAAAAGTAAATTATGAAGATCTAATATGTAAATTGTGAACCTTTCGTATATAAATTGTGTATTTTTACCCATATCAACTTTGCAAGATAGACCCTAGTCATGGTATAACAACTGACCAATCACATGATCAACCAATCGCACATGTAGGTTTTTTTAGGGATACCGAAGCCCGGAACTGTAATCTAAAAATGTATACAATATAAATCCTTCTTGTGATCTTAGCTGACTAAGGACTTCAAGGAGGACTAGTCTAGCAGGTTACTTATAGCTGACAGGCTCAAATCATAAAAGTCCCTCTGAGTTGAACTTGAAATTATGTGGTTATAAATCTACAATGTGACCAACTTGGTTAGAGTTATCTGATCCACATGTGAAATTTTAATTTGGTTTAAGAAATGCATATTTTGTAAAATTTATTTAACCTTTTTTTTTTTAATATGGGTAATGATATTTAGTTATTTGTTAAAAATTTTATATATATATATATATATATATATATATATATATATATATATATATATATATATATATTGTGTGCTTAATTGCACTTTTTTTTTTTTTTTTTTTAAGTTTAAGAGTCTAATTAAACTTTTGAGTAAAGTTCAAGGTTCTATTTGACCCTTTTTCGTATTTTATTTGATCCGTTATAATTAAAGTAATTTATAATTTATTAATAGAATACTTTTATTTAAAAAATTAGGTGTGAGTTGCATTATTGTCCCACACTTGTCTTTACACCCTATAAACCACTACTAAAGTTAATGATTTAAAAATTCAATTCGTATATATTCCATCATATTATATATATATATATATATATATATATATATATATATATATATATATATATAATATTATTGTGGTAACTTTAATCATACAATTCACTAGTGTAGTGTTAGCTTTCTAATATTATATTTATCATACTTTAATACAAACGACTTCACTCATTAAATTCAAATTAAAGACATGTTTGAATTGTTAATGTAATATTTAGTAGGAATAAAGGGGCGTTTGGTTCAGGTTATATAACATAACCAAGGGAATGTGACATTCCAAAACTCACATTCCGGTGTTTGGTTCATATTATCTTAGGGAATCTAACATTACCATGGAATGTCACATTCCCTCCACATAGGATTTTGAAGGTAATGTAAGATAACATTGGTTATGTAGTTTATTATTATTATTATTATTATTATTATTATTATTATTATTACTATTATATATATATATATATATATATATATATATATATATATATATATATATATATATATATATATATATATATATTGTAATTATATATATTTTTTATTTTTATTATGTTATGTTAGCATATAAAATAATTTTGTTTCTCACGTTCAAGATTTTAGTTAATATTTTAAAATCATGTAATTATATATGATACCGTTATCTTATTTATTTATTTTAATTTTTAAATTTATTAAAATATATGAAAATATGTTAAGGATATTATAGTGTGTATATAAGATAACCCTAAACCAAACATGATTATATTACATACCCCAATTTTAACCAAACACAAGAATCTAACATTCCCAGTAAGCTAACATTCCCAACAATCTAACATAATTCACATTCCCAACAATCTAACATAATTCCCTAAAGTAATCTCACATTCCGTGAACCAAACGACCCCTAAGGGTGAAATAGGCCATTCAAGTGCACACCAAATTACAATTAGGTCATCGAACTCAAAAAATACAATTCGGTCCCTTAACAATACAAGCTCATGTAATTTAGACAAAAACCTATTTACATGATATTATGCTGACATGGCGGTTACTGATTCTAAAAATAATTTTAAATAAAATAATTAATTTAAAAAAAAAAACTAGAACTGTCTGAGACGAATCGTCTTCATGGCCAGGAGAAGAAGGTTCCTTGTTTTTTAAAATTATTTTTAAAATTGGTAACCGTCACGTCAACATAATTTTAGGTAAACAGGTCATTTTGGGTCTAATTGCATGAGTTTGTGTTGTTCAGGGACACAATTATATATATATATATATATATATATATATATATATATATATATATATATATATATATATATATATATATATATATATATATATATATATATATATATATATATTTTAATTCGATGGTCTAATGGCAGTTTAGTGTACAGTTGAGTGTCCTATTTAACCCTTATTTCTATTTAGTATATATATATTTTTTGAATACTATTGACTTTATTACAATGCAATATATCTTCTATTTAGTATATACATTAGTAATTATGAGAAGAAATTTGGAAAGCTGCATCTATCTGCATATTTAATAGATAATGTGGTACTATTGTTTTTAATTTTCACTTTTTAAAGTATATAGACTAAATTAAATTAACTATTTAAGGTATAAGGACTAAATTAAACAAAAATTTGTTGTGAAAACATATATGTAGATATTACAATAGATATTATACTATCATAATATATCTTCATCTTTATAGTATTGTAGTTATCTGTATATGTAACTTGTATTGAAGAATGATTAATAAAAGATTGATGATCAGCACGATAAGCCCACCCACCCCCTTCTGTCTCTGCCCTCCAGGAAATCAAGCAATTCCGGCAATAAGTTGGTGAAGAAACCGTCCGAACCGAGGGCTAGGTCTGCGACGTCGGCGGAGAAAATGTCGACAGCGTTGGCGACGGCGATGCCTAAGCGGCGGCACTCGAGGAGGTCGATGTGGTTGAGGCCGACGCTAGAGATGACAACGAAGCAGAGGGAAGGCAGGTGTGTGAGGCTGGAGGCGGAGCAGAACATGGCCTCGACGGTCTGTGCGTAGGCTGAGAGAAACTCTTCCAGCGGTAGCGGCAACTCCCAGGGCTTCAGAAGCATGAACTTGTCGGCGAATTAGTGGTCGTATTCTCGGAACACCAATGGTTGACCAAGAACTATTATCAGCGGCACTTAGCGGCAGCAGCTCCAGCTCAGGAGTATTTACAGAGGATATATTTTGTGACAGGGATGCAATTGAAGGTTGAAGCCACATCTGAAAATAATGGTAAATGACATATTTATCCCCTTTTTTTACGGCTTAGACAGAAGGATATAACGGAAGGATGGCAGCAGGTCAGCTTTTGCAACTCGGAGGACCACGGATGGTAATTACCAAAGTTAGGGACTACAGATGGTGAAACCACCAAACTCGAGGGACCTTGACTGGTATTTACTCAACATAATTAATTTGATAAAATAATTTGAATAAAAAACACATTATAAATTACACATCTCATTCTTAACATAAAAGAATGTTATGCGTGTGTGTGTGTATTAAATATTAAAAAAACTATTAAAAATGTGACTGTGGTGAAGCCAAAAAAAACTGTGAAAGAGTATTAATGCCAAGATTTGAACCCATAACCTTCATTATCATAACCAAACACATGTTTTGCCAACTAATCTAACTCACTTCTTGTTAATAGTCATCTGTTTTTTAAACTAATACTATAACTTGTACTATATATACATATATACATACAAAGGTTATATATGGGGTGGGGGTGCGGTGAGGGGGGGCCGGGGGACAGCTGCCCCCCCTTTGGATCTGTCCTTGCCCGGGCACCCATGGCTTCTGCTTCATGAACGGTGAACAACCCATCAATATTTTTCATGGCTGCTCCTATCACCACCCCTTCCTCATTCCGATTTCCGAATCATGAGTGTCTCATATTAGAATGTTACGAGTTTAATTTTTTCCCATATCTTCTCGGTCAAACATGTCGCACAAGATTTTTTTAATGTAGTTACCTCTCATGTAATAAAATAAGTTTTCAAAAAAGGGTTAGGTCTGAGTTGCATTATTGTGCTCAGTGCTCACACTTGTCTTTACACCCATACATCACTACTAAAGTTGATAATTTGAAATTCCATTCACATATTTCCCATCATATTATAAAGGGAAAAGGGTCAAATAAGCCCCTAAACTTTACACTGAAAGTCAATTAGGTCCTTAAACTTTTAAAAAGTGCAATCACATGCACCACTCCGGCGAAATTCCGGTGACCAGCTACGGAAGGCAACTGGTAAACTAACATGAACTCTGTATTGTTTATTCTCAAGCCCAAACTCAAAGATCCACAGAACAAGTTTGTTTATTATTCATGAATTTCTAGCACCTACACAAAAATCTTCATCTGATGAATTACAACTTTCAAATATAATATTCTGAATATGGAAAAGAAGTACAGTACATGTAATTATGCATATTGATTGATGCGGAATGACCTGAGATTAAAATCGTCAAACTATTCGCCGGGTTTTAATTTGTGGGCTTCCGGTACTTCACTTCGACGTCTTTAATTAGCCTTAAACAAAGCCGCCTCGATGGTTTTTCGGAGGTTGGGAACGTTATAGTTCTGGGCAATATAAATTCCGCAAACTGTTTCCGATACGAAGATGAAGTTGTTCCTTATTATTCCCATTGCTCTTCGATTGCTATGAAGGAGAAGCTGTGAGCAGCCGAGCTGAGAACGACGACTAATGACTTGTTTCAGGCGCTGGGAAATAATAGACGCGATGCGCGAAATAACTTAGTTGACCTTTACTGGTCGCCATCGCCGGAGGAGACTACTTTTGGTCGATGACTATTTTTTCCGGTAAGATTTCACATGTCAACGGCAAAAAAGATAGTCAACGGTGAAAATTTACCGGTAACCTGTTGGTTACCGGTAAATATGACTTATTTGACCAAAAATTACATGTTTGAGGGTTTAATTGAACTTTTCAAAAGTTGAAGGGTCTAATTGACTTTTGGTGTAAAGTTTAGGGGTCTATTTGACCATTTTCCCTATTATAAATATAAGTTTTGCATTATTGTGGCAACTTTAATCATACATTTCACTAAGGCCATGTTAGCTTTCCACATATTAATCATATTCTAACTCATTAATTTCAAAGACACATGTTTGTTAATGTAATATTTAGTAGGCAGGAGATTAGGTGCAGTTATATGTCTCATGTAAAAATTGAGGTGAAATCTCAGTCATTAATATTGTCAAAATGAATTAATTTCACTTTTGGTCCCACGACTTTTGATATATTATCATTTTTGGTGCACAACTTTAAATTTTTTAATTTTGGTGCCTAACTTTGTTATTTTTATCAGTTTTGGTCCTTTCGGCCAAACTGACAGCGAAATGTTGCTGGATTTTATATTTTTAGGGGTAAAATCGTCATCCCAAGGAAACATCTTCAATATCTAAACAAAATCACTGTAAAATCATATCTATAGGTGTTTGATCGATGAGAATAATGGGAAAGACGGGCAGAAACCAGACAGCTCTATGGGATTTATAGTTTCGACCATTGGCAAACTCTTCTTTTACTCTTAATATGATTTTTCTTTTGTTTAAATATTGAATATCTTTCCATGGGATGATGATTTTGCCCCTAAAATATAAAATCCAAAAATATTTTATCGTCAATTTGGCTGAAAGGACCAAAACTGATAAAAATAACAAAGTTAGGCACCAAAATTGAAAAAATTTAAAATTGTGCACCAAAAGTGATAAGAACTCAAAAGTCATGGGACCAAAAGTGAAATTAATTCTTGTCAAAATCAACAACTCAAAACGAAAACAAATTTTTTAAAAAAATGTGGTGGCATTATGGTAATTTTAAGTAAGTTCAAAGATTGAGGTGCAACTTTAAAACATAAGGTGTGTAAGTTTATAGTTTAAGGTGCCTAAGTTTATAGCGTTAGGTGCCTAAGTTTATAGCGTAAGGTGTGTAAGTTTATAGCTTAAGGTGTGCAAGTTTATAGTTTAAGGTGCGTATATTTAAAGCTTAAGGTGCGTTAGTTTGACAATTAATGTGCTCCAGTTTGACACTTAAAATGTGTCAGTTCTACTTCTACACTTAAGGTGCGTCAGTTTGATACTTAATGTGCGTAAGTTCTATACTTAAAGTGCATAGTTCTATAGTTAATGTGCGTCAATTTGATACTTAAGGTGTGTCAGTTCGACAATTAAGGTGCGTCAATTTAAAATTTAATGTGCATAAGTTTTAACCTTAAGGTGCATCAATTCAACAATGGTAGGAAGAGATCATTCACATCTAATTACCTGGAAGGTTTTTTTTTTTTTTTTAAATTTTCCTTGAGTTGAACCATTGATCCAGATCATCAACGGCTTAGATCTCACCCCTGTTGGAAAAACCATTCAATAAAGAAGGATTTTCACTTATTTATTTCCTCTCCTAATTTTTTGGAGCTGTCTGAATAATTCCTCTTGTCCACCCGTCAGAGACGTGACTTTTATTCAGGATCCATTACCACTAAAATAGCACTATTTGTGTGGTTTGATGGGAGAAGGTTGTTGAAGCTTTGTACTATAAAATCCTACTTCCAGTTCAAGCATAAAAAAAAAAAAAAACACAGCAGAGCTCCTTCTTGGTTCATAGCTTCCTCCATACCAGAACATAACACTACATTATTAATATGTATAGCCTGTCGAAAGTATTTCGGAACCGTCACCGAAAAGTTTATGCTTTTAAGGTAGTGTTTTCATAAACACGACACATAATTCTGTTTCCTATTTATTTCGAATTCATATTCGTGTTCCTTCGTCGTACACCATCTTCATGTTCAGACTCACGTGGCATTGTTTCAGCAAAAAATATGGAACAGTTAAAAGCATAAATCTTTTGTACTGAAACAATATAGAAGCAGACTCTTTAGTGATGATAATAGTGAATGAGCACAACACTTTGTTAATCTTGTCGGGAGTTTTCTGATCAGATCACATCCATGAATGTTCAAAGAACTCTGTCGCCATTGTTGGGGCCTCTGTTACTGCTACTATGTTCAAGCGCCCCCGCGGCTATGGAGCATCGACGGGCGGGCTACATAATTTACAAGGATCTGACGAAGCTGATCTCGTCCAGGATTCGAGACTTGATTGAGCGGAAAGATAAGATTGACCAAATGACACAGCTCAATCATGAAGGTTGGCCTAACGCGGAGATCATGAGGGATTCCTTCCAACTCTTGATCAGTCATACATCTTTTGAGTATCTTTACAGAGGAATCCATCACCTGCCAATCGACCTTGGCTTTGCTGTTGGATGATCCATTTGATTGCTCTGTTAGGCGAGTCTATTGACGAAGATGACGCCATTGACTTTCTTAGTCACTGCCAGGTTTGTCACTCTTCGTACAGCTGGCTGAAATATTAATGTTGATATTTTAAATCATTATTATATTCTTCCGTATTCTCTTGAGCTGCTTTACCAGAAGGTATTCTCCCTTTTTATGTGATTGGGAAAAGGGAATAAGCATGATAACTTTCTGACCATATTGTGATATTAATAATTAAGGTTCCTACTGACTATATTGTGATATTAAAAATTAAGGTTCCTATATATGCTGTAATTGCAATAATATATGGGAATTGAATTAACATTGGAAAAGTAGGGGATTGGATTTAATATAGAGTCGAAGCAAGGAAAGAGTCACAAAGTAGTACACTAATTGATCATTCTTATAATGTATGTACTTGTGAGGTTGAGCTACAGCTCTTAATGAATTCATAACCCTATGAGAAGGGTGGTTCTGTTGAGACGAACCTAATGAGTTCACCGCATAATACTTGAGTATAAAAGTGCTCTTAATGATTTCTACCCAATTGAGGTGGTCTACTTTGAGGTAGACCTACTGAAATCACTGACTAGAGTGAAAATGGGTTAACCTCCTTTTATGAAAGATAATTGGGGTATTCCAAGAAACTGAGTGGCTAATAAATATGTTGAGAAAGGTGCAGTTGTGGCGGTATCCAACACCTTCACTACCTATACATTGTGATTTACAAACCGTCGTTTGCGTTACAAAGAATAGTGTC